TGACTGTGGCTAAAGAAGTCCTTGTTGAAACTGAAACGATTTGGTTGAAGACTTTAATGACAGACACCGGGAGACTTTAGGTACATGTTCCAGTTCGCGTTCCCCCGCGAAAACCCGGCAGGACACGGAGGTTATCCAAGCACTTTAGCATACTTATATTTTGAAAGAAAACTGCGAATTTAAAATAATGTATTTATTTTAGGAGGTTTTTTTTTTCCACGGTGACCAGAAATAGTGTTTGGTTGGGGTGAGTCGGACATTCCATTGATGGTAATGTAGGAATGTCAGTGTGTGTACGTGTGTCAGTGGTTTGCGAGCGTCGTCTGACCATAGAGAGCGCTGGTTCACTGACACCGACATGGTATGTGTCCAGCGGTTTCCTCTCAGAGAGATGCCAGCGGTCACTTCTTTATTTTGGCCTGGTCCAAACTTAGCTGAACTCTATCTTTATATACTGTACGTCGAGCTGCAGCTCGATGACAACTCAGATGAACCTGTGTCCATTTGGAGATTTCGGGAGACGGTGGGAAAAATGCCAAGATGTTTTCAACGCAGATGAACATCAAGCTGTACCAAACAAACCACTGACAGCTGAGAAAGTGGAGGAAAAAGAAAAAAAAAGCTTCTGTTTTAGTCTCATTCAGAGAATTGTGAACACGTGTGGCCCTGAGAGCTGTACTCCTACCTGGTATTGAAATAATCTGCCTCACAACGAAAGACAACGCTGGAATGTAAAAGAAGAAACACAGAATTTATGGTTGTTGTTCTGTTTTGGTTTCTACGATTAGGACTAGGATTTTACTGAGCTCAACACAATAAAAAAAAAAAAACAGGAAGTAGCCGATCCATACAACAATATTGGCTGCTCCAGGACTAATGCACTCCTGTCAAAAACGTCCTGACTCATCAAGGCCTCTGTCCAGAGCTGTATATTTGTACAGTAAAATAATTCTACCCATGATGCAAAGTAAGCTCGAAATTAAAAACCAAATGATAATATAAGACATCATCTAAACCACGTGTCAAACTCGAGGCCCGGGGGCCAAATGTGGCCCGCAGAGTCATTTTGTACGGCCCGCGGGAGCTTAAAAAGCATTTAATAAAGTCTAATAAATACCTACTAAATTAAGAATTTTTTTACATTACACAGCCCTGAACAACATTTGGGACTTAAAATATAAGATAAATTATATAAGATAAATAATAATCAATTACAGAAACATCAACCTAATAAATTAAGAGTTTTTTTAAGGTTACACAGCCCTGAACAATATTTGGGACTTGAGTAAATAATAATCAATTACAGAAACATTTATTAATACGTTATGAAGTAGTAACATTTATACAGTCTTACCGTTAGTCCCTTCAAGGCAAACTCTATTGCTGTGAAAATGAGTTTCACACCCCTGATTGACACCTCTGATCTAGCCCATTATCAAAACAGAATACAGACATCCTCATTATGCATCATGTCAATGTCATCATGTTACAGCCAATCACAACGTGCAGCGTGTGGTGACCCACAATGCAGAACTAGCTGACATGGGATGTAAATATAGAGGAATGTACAGTATATGTCATAGTATTCACAGTCTGGGGCGATGTGCTGCTGCCCACAGTCACTTCAAGTCAAGAATAGCAAAAAGGCAGTGAAACGACACCAGGACAAAAAATGTGCAAAGGTCAAAAATAGATATAAAAATGCCAGAGAACAAAAAAAAAAAGAAGAAATGTTTCAGACTGGAGCAGCAAAAAGAACGATGGAAAGAAAGATGATGACGTTACCGTTAGCGAAGCAGCAGCATCTCCAACAATAACGTTTGAAATAATAATGAACGTCTAATGACTTGTTTGGTTTTCTGCCTCTTTCGTGCATGTCTCATTTTACAGTGCAAATATATATCAGGAGAATACCGACATCATTAGCAAACTCTGAAGGCTGAGCCAACACGGAAAAGAAAAACAGGCCAAAATGTGACTTAAAAAGTTGCACAAAAAATGTGCAAGGTTGGTTTAAAAAAATGAACGACAGAAGCCGCGAAGAATCATTAGAGAAAAGGCCAGATATACACATATAAATATACTATATAATGGATGTACATATATACACACATCCACAAAACCATTTCTAAAAAAGATTAACCACAAAAAACCAACATGGGGAACTGAGAAGTGAAGTCCAGATTAGTTAATCTGTCACCATCCCTTCTGTAATCCTGGCTGCTAGTTTACTGCATTGTTTCCCAAAGACTGGGTTGCGATCCTCAGGTGGGTCGCAAGAGATGTTTTTTGGGTCGTCTCGGATCATGTTTCCCAGGAGTTTACGAATAATGTCTATCGACTTGGAGCACAAAAGTATCTGACTTTCTGACTGAAAAGAAAAGGAAAAAACTTGAACTGTGATGCAACAGCCATTAAAGCCATCATGTCCACATGTCTCCCTGTCATGTATACGTGCACGTGTGCTCCTTGTACTGTAAGGACACATGTTCCCTGTACATGTGCATTTGTGATTTTTTTTTTTTGCCGGTATCTCTCACATGAATCAGAGGCAGACGTGGAACAGATGTTGGAATCTGAGCAGATGGTAGAAGATACCGACCCCGTCCTGAGACTTCTGCTGCTGGTTGTTTCAATTTCTTCATACACTGCAGTGGGAGGAGGGAGGAAGGGAGGACGGAGGAAGGAGGTGGGGTGGAGGTTGTGTCCCATTCCTTTCGTCAGAACAAAGACAAAATCTCAAGGACGTCGCTGTGTCTTCACTCTAGCTGCAAGTTTCCTCCCCCAGAGGGAGCCGTCTTTGTTGCAGAGAAAGACAGGAAATCAGGAGGAAGCCCTCTGGATTTAACGTCACCCTTCATCCCCAACTTGACCGCTTCTTTATTTACGACAGCGCCGGATAATAATGGAGACTTCCCCTCAAATGTTTGGGTTCATGGCAGAGGTCTGAGAGACAGAATACTGTCCTGACTCAAATGACTGCCTTCACTGAAACATGCCCGCGGTCAGTGCCACACATCTGTGATGGGGTCGGTCATTCAGACAAAAGTGATACTGATAAAGGGGTCAGTGACAGTCGGATGTTGGTGGTTGTCCAACAGGGAGCAGATATGTTTTCCTTCCTTAGGAATTGGGAAAACGGGGGGAAAAAAAAAACCGTATTTTTCATGATATTATGGGTTTTATTATTCAGTAAAGGTAAAGGGATAAATACACTAGTTTTTACACGACATAGTCTACTGTATAACTCATCCTGAACTATAAAACATCCACAGCCTTAGTTTCAAAATAAAGCACCTCTCCAGCATGTCATGAATTTAAAGGGGAAATTGATTTAATTGTAAAGACTGATCAGTGCTGGGCAATAATATGTATTTAATACAATAATAATTTAATAATACTATTTGTTGAGTTGTATTTTGAGGACAAGGATGGACTAAAAAAAAAAATAGAAATAACTTCTTCTCTGCATCAATGCAGTCCGTGCCCTAGTGGTATCAGAACTGTGTTTCGGTTATTCAATAATCTAGTTTCGAATCAAGCACCAATTCCCTCACTGATGATTCTACTTCAATAGGAAAAAAAATTATCATCTTAAACCAAAAATATTTGATATATGGATTTATTTCTTCTTCTTTACATTTCTACTGCAGAGCCATAACCAGAAACCTGACGTTTGTGAACGTGTCAGAAACCAAACTAATGACAAAGGTCTATGAATAGACCAGTTAAAGAAAAAAAAAAGAAAGAAAGAAAAGAAAACCCATAAACGTAGTGAACGGCTGCACGTGGTAGAAACTGAGCTGGTTAGGAGGCGTGGGCTGGGTCACAGCGCCTCAGTGTTTGCCAATGTGGCCTAACAGGAGGTTGACTACTGGATCTGTGGTTCCTGTAATGTTAGACTGAAACTGAGGAGCTCCTGATTCCAGCAGATACAGTACCTCAGTGTGTGTGTGTGTTTGTGAACACGCCCCGACCGAATGCAATTAGTGTGAAGCCACTTAAGACACATGTTGCTGCTAATATACCCAGAGCGTCACTAAAGCCATGCAGGGGGAAACTGAGAGCAGGGGAAAGACCCACAGGAGGCAGTCAATAAAACTGTGCAAAGAAAACAAGGGATAAAAATGACAATTATTCTGGAAGAGCAATCAATAAAACACACTTTAAAAAAAAAAAAAAAAAAATTCCTTGTTTTTTTTGCTGGTACAGCCCTGATGGTTAGTGTGAGGCACTGGAGCAGAACGGTATTGATCGTCACGGTGACCTTCTCTGCCACTGCTCCAGAGCAGGGAGGGAGGAGGTGGCTAATCTTTAAGACCCCGCTTCAGCAGCAGACTAAAGACCTGAACAGTCCACTGCACACCAGACTGAGCTGCACATCACAGACTGAATTGTAATCACTCAGGTCTCAGTGGAGCAGCAGCAGCAGCAGCAGTAAACTACTGAAAACCTCAGCCGCCCGCCTCCTAAACAGGAGGCTGATTTGGACACATGTAGATTTCTGTGATCACTGAGACTATACTGAAGTATATGTTTGAATACCGTACTGGAATCCATGTATTTGTATTAACCTAGCATGGCATTTTTGGCTTATTAAACATCTAAGTGTTTCATTTGCAGTAGCATTCAAGGCACTGTCGACGCACAGAACATAAATGTTAGCATCAGTTTCTTTTAGATTTAGATTTATGCGTTTAGCAGACTCTTTTATCCAAAGCAACTTACAAGAAGAGGATTACTCAAGCATATGGTTCCTCTGGGAATCGAACCCAGGACACGCTGGGAACCGCTACACTGTGGAACCACACTTTTAGCCTCATCTTGGCTACTGGGCCGTAACCTCGACTCTAGCTTCACTCACGCTGACCTGGCTGTGGTTCTACCTCGTCCTCGGTGTGATTCCAGATTCGACGAAATAAAAGCTACAGTGATTAAACTTTATCCTCTGTGTCCGTTTGAAAACTCAATCTAACACATGGTCAATTAAACTGAGTGGAACTCTAACTGTGAAAGGCCTGTGCACGTGCGGTGTAAGAAGACGCAGCTAAAGATATGTGTGTGGGGGAGACGGAGACGGGGGGGTGAAGATGGAGCAGATTTGCAGGGTGGAGGAAGGTGGAAATTACACTGTTAAACCACTTCTGGAGACGGAGGCTCAGGACAGATGGATGGATGGATGGAGGGAGCAGAGGAGAAGGAGAAAAGAAGGGTCTGTGGTTGAGGCGTGTGCCAATAATGGTGGTTGCAGATCTATATTTGAAGCGGATCATAAAAGGCAGTCAATCTCTTCCACTGAAGTGGTGGAGAGAAAATAAAGGGGGAGTTAAAGAGGGAGGTGGGACGAGGAAGAGATGTTAGAGCTGGTAATAAAAAATAAAAAAGAGAAAGAAATTCAAAGAAAGAGGACTATGGAAGGAATGGGTAACGAGCAGGTAATGACATGAATAACAAACAGGACAAGGAGAGAAAGACACATAAAGACACAACTTTAAAAAAATGGGGGGAAATTATTAATTTGGTACAGAAACTGATCAAATCCCTGCCAAAAGGAAAGAAAATATCAAGAACATGAAATGTCCTAAAAGAAACCATCACAGAAATCACTGTAAAGTGAAGCTGGCACAACTACAGTACTTGCACAAAAACATAAATAAAATACACATTAGCAAGTATTAAATGGGGTTTTTTTCCTACGAATTGAAGTTCCGTCTTATACTGAAAATAAATGAAAATGAAACTCAATGGGTTTCTTTACAATAAAGTGTTTTTCCAAGCCTCTGCCATAATGCTGTAATACCACCAAGTACAAGCAGAGGGAGTAATGGTTGGTGAACGGTGCAACCGTGAACCAGCACCATCTATTTCAAGGTATTGAAAATGCATTAAGGTCAGGTGACTCTAAACCATCATTGGCTACAAATTCCAGTCAATGGTGTTTTTGTCTCCGTCCATGAGACTTGACCGAGACTTGACCTTCTTTGAACAGGGTTGGTCGTTATTGGCGGGGGCAACCACTTCTAAGAATCAGATCAGCTTTGTAGGAATTTCAGGCTGAGAGGAATTTTGAAGCATTGGCTGTGAATGTGTAGCCTTTTATCTACAAAAAGGTGGCGCTACAGAAAACGTTTAGAACCACTGGGTTACAGTAACATCAGGTGAGTGGTTCGTTTTCCTAAATGTAACATGGAACTCACTCCATCACAGATGCTGTACTTTGGTTTGTTCTGGGAACTGACTTTTCAGGTTCAAATCAATGATCCGGCTCCCACTGGTGGAGAATGTGTTTCAGGAACCAGAACTGTGCTGCTATGAAAGAGCTCACAGAGGAGTCTTTGGCGATCATAAGTTTAAAAGTAAACACACACGCGTATCACTGCCAGTAGAGCAGAGTGACCTCTAAAGGTGGAAAATAAGAGGTTTGCCAAGCGACCATCTACAATTGTTGGTTTGTTACGTGACGCACAAAAAACATTGAGAAAGTCCAGCGGGAGCGCTGCTGCAGGCTGGAAACCACAGGGTTATTTTGAGTGCAGTGAAACAGTCAAGTGACCATGAAGTTCATAATCCACCCAGGAAAGTACAGCGTTAATGATGCTCTGCTCTGTCTCAGCGGCTGTCACTGTGCCTTTTGGAGGAGGAACGCAAAGAAGGAAAACCGAGGAGAAACTGTTTCTTCTGAGACCAGTTTCATCGGCTCAGTGTCTGGGCCGACTGAAGCCCAAAGACGTGACAGGGACTGCGGTCAAACAGTGAAGGGTTTCCCAATGACTTCCTGGATGTGAGGGAAGGCCTTTTTTTCCCTCATCATGCCAAACCAATCTGACTTTTTTACCATCAACGCATCTGAAACCATCTCACAGTGCATGTATGCATTCATCGGCCCTATCTACACACTACTGTATTTAAAGCTAGCTTCTGGGCTAACTGAACATCAAACACATTATAAAAACAAAAACACAAAGACAATCATTCACACCTCTGATCAATTCAGCCAAATGTTTTGTAAACATGGACGAGAAGGTCACCGACACACATCCGGGCTGCGACCCACACTTTGACAAATCTTCTACCATCCAATGACTCTAAGGATAACTCAATGCTCTACTCTGTATTGTTAATATAAATATTAACTGAAACATAACATGGACCATGGCAAAAAAAATAAATCTGTTTTGTGAATACCGGCTGTGTAAATAAAACAAATCCACGGTGTCTGCCATGTTTGTTTCTCCCATCGTTTACATGTGATGTTCCATGGTTTAGTGGAGACACAAACATCAGATTCGTCCCACTTCTGCCTGCAGTGTGAATATACTGAAGTCCAACAGAACAAACGCACCAAGGTTTGTTTTTACCAAAACGTAGCTCAGCAGACTGAACAAATCTTCCGAGGGCTGGGTTTGGTTCCTTTTTTTGTTAAAAGAACTTTAAACTATATGCAGACGATTCTAAATCTGGAAGCAGGCAGCGCAGGGTGTGTAAACTAACAATGTAGACTGAAGACGAAAAAGAAAATGTTTTGGCAGGGATCAGTAAAACGTCTGTCGGGTAAATAAATAAAGATTAATGGCAAACACATCAAGAATCAGCTGCCGGTCCGATAATCAGATGAATCATCTGAGCTGGTGATGATGTTTACTGTAGGAATCCAGTGAATCTTTAAGTGATCAAATCATTCCAGAGTGAGGAGGGGGTTCTAATTTACTCTTTTAGCTTCAGTCGCACAAACCACCTCAAATGCACCCCCCTCTCCCCCCCTTATATTATAGTGAATTATCTTTTCCTGGGGGAGCAAGAGGCTGCGATAAAGACGGATCTTTCTGGATCAACATCAGACATCAGGCTAATAGTGATGTGATGTGGTGTGGGCGCCGATCATCGCACCGCTGATTCAGCTGCTTAGAAGCCAAAGACCCCCGATATCCCCCGCCCCACCCTGACTCCGCACTCCACCATACTCTGACAAACTTCCCTTTAATCCTCCCCAACCTCAACTCATGCCAGACGTACAAAAGCCACCAGCCCCAGCCCCAGCCCCTCACCCTCATAATTGAAGCAGAAACCTCAGGTTCGGTGCAGGAGCTGATCCTGCAGCTTCAACCTTCAGTCCTGGCTTCAATTTTCAACATTTTTTTATTCTCCATCAACCAGCTCTGAAAATGTGGAAAGGATGGAAACGGAATAACTGCACATTATGATCCAACGTCACTATGGTTTTCCACAAGGCAGATTCCTTAGCTGACATTCCATGTTTGAACACAGACAGGGATTCCAACACACTTCCACAGGACATGTTGGGCGCTGTTTCCCATAGGTACGAGAACATCTGCCTCGTGTTTTCACATTAGACCCCCAAGTGTCTTATCTTAACTGGGCAGATCAGAGCTCACTTTCTCATACTGTTTTTTTCCATAAAAGTTTTTTTTCTACGTCATTTGTAGGATTTTACAGATAAATGTACAGGAAACAACTCAAGTTAATTCAGAGCTGATAACTGGACCTCGTGATGCATCATGTGTGGATCTGTAAACTCATTTAACGTATGGTATTCAGCTCAGAGACACGTGAGGAGAACCACTCTATTTCCCCATATATCAACAATGACATACGCATACATGAAGATGCATTGCACTATTTTCAGACAAAGCAACTCAGGCCCCTGAACAAAAAAATAATAATATACTATAATAATAACAATGAATCATTATTATTATAAATGGTCAGAATAACCAACAACTGCATTCATAACACACAAAAACACAAAGCTGCACAAAGCTAAAAGAACAAATACATTCACTTCAGATTAAATCCACTAAAAACAGTTTTCAAAATGGCGGCCACCAGGGGGCCTCGGAAAATTAGCGGGGAGTGAGAAAAAAAGTAGCATAAAAATATTTTTTGTTTCCGTTGGTACGTGAACGCACCTCGTGTGGCAGCTACAACGTTATCAATCTGCTCTGCTAGCCTATAGCTAGCTAGCGTGTGTTTGTAAGTAAATATGCTAAACTAAACAAATTTGATATATATTTTTTTAATGGTGAATGAAAGTAAGAAAATACATTCTAAAGGTTAACGTTTATATACAGTTAATTCTTACTAAATTCTGCTTTCTACGTCATTTTCTTGTAAGTTTAGGAACATCTAAATTATGATTCAGCCTGTGACGTCGAACCGTGTGTGTGTACTTGGTGCTCAAAATGTAAATGTAGTACCTGGATGCTGGACTGAACGGAGGCAGGAGTCGTGGAGGTGTCCAGGAGCTGATGGAGCAGAGAGAGAGGAACCTGGGGTGTAATCCATGGTGGGGGGAAAAAGATGAAGAAAAAAAAGGAGAAGACTGGAGAATGACGTTACCTTTACCTGCAGCAGGTGGGGTTGATAATCAGTTGATGATCTCCCTGCAGGTGTGCAGACATGGAGGCGAGAAGATGACCATTTAGCTCAGGAACAAACTCAGAGATTCTGTTGTTTTGGTTTATTTTAACTTTAATATATAACAAACATAAAATATAAATATTTATAAATATATATACCAAGTGCTGACAATAAAATGCCATAGTTGTTTTGTACTTGTTTCCAATAGCTGTTCAAAGAAAGCCAGCTGATTTTTTCTTTTTTCTTTCTTTTTTTTTTTTTAAGAGTGCATGCGAGCACACACACTTTGTGGACCCTTGCATGTGGAGGACAAAGGCAGGAGGTGGAAACTTGGAAAATTGAGTCCAGGAAAATGAAATAAATCAGCTCTGTGCTGTGAGATGAGGAGTGTGGAGCTGTGACCAGTTTAAACTGGACTTTCAAAAAAAAAATACACAAAGAGAGACTGACTTTAATCAACGGTAATTAGGTCACAATGCAATGGCTGCGGGCGGTAAAAACGGGACGGTTTTCTTTCTATAGAGAACACGGCATGATGAGAAGGCGTTTCTTTTACCATATAAAGAGCTTTAGAAAAGTCTTAGCCCTGTTTGTTCCTTAACAAACGAGCTGCTTTTTTCACAGCAAAAGCAGAAGTGACTCAAGTTAAAATTAAATAGAAACCCTGAGGTTTTGTCGACAGGTGTCTCTGTGTAAATTGTAACCAGTGGTATTTATGTGTAAACGTCAACTGGTACCGCTTTGTACCGTGTAACCACCATGAACATAGTACAGCTGAGACGCTTTTTTAGTTCTATATTTACAAGAGAAGATGGAAAAAGTTAACGCCAGTAATTCAAAACAACGGAGGATATCGGCTGTTGTTTGACTGAACCAACAGTGACATCAAGCGGTGAAAAAAAGTATAATAAGAATCATTTTCAAGGCAGTTAAGCTATTGGACTACCTTTTGTGAAATATTTGTTGTAATAATAGTGTATTTAACTTGTATTCAAGTTTTATTGTTTACCATATTGTTTTTATTGGAATATACCTACAAATACTAAACAGTATAAATAAATAAAGATAATCCAACACATGTTTACAACTTATTTATTGACCATTGGTTATTATGGTGAAAATGACCACATTTTGTATTTATTGTTAACTCTTTTTTTTTTTTTTTTTTTACAATAAAGTTATAAAATACTCCCCATAATTCCCAATGATGATACAATATGTGCCATAGAAAGAAGTCAGTAAAGCCAATGTTTCCTTCTTAGAAATATTTTCTTCCTACTACTTTTTTTTGGCTTATTTATAACATTGACTCCCTGATATATATATATATATATATATATATTGTGCAGTGTACAAACATGATGAATTTACCGTGTAAAAGGTTCCTACATTTTCAAGTGAACAAGCAATTACATTAATCCAGTCAATGGTGTGCATCAAATAAAAACCTCTACCCAGATACCCATACTGTATGTGCATCAAATAAAAACATTTTAAAACCTCTACCCAGATACCCATACTGTAGTTACAGACAGTATAAAGACATTGCACTAAAAACAAGATAAAAGAAGAAAAAAACCAATTCAACACAATTGAATCAGCTCATTGAGTTAAGTACTTCAAACTGCATAGTGTACCATGTTCCTGTAAGTATCGGTGATGTCACTGTCAGGTGACCAGGACGTATAACAATAGTCTGAGCAAAAACTGCTCAAATGTTTTGACAAATCAGAACTGCTGCAAAAACAATCAGCCAGTTCTAGTACTTGAAGGTACTTTAATACTACAGGACAGACATACAGCATAACTGTAGGTGAATCTGTGACCTACAGTAAAACGAACGGCTTTTACAGCAACAGAAGTCAAGAATTTCTGTTTCGTTTTGTTTTGTTTATGGAAAATCCTTTCGTGGAGTTAAAAACTGACCTAATGAGTTTTTTTGTTTTGGTTCCTGTGGTTCAGTTGGGAACGGGACTGTTTTCATTCTCATCCTCTAGACTGGCCACAGGTTGCCCCTCCTCTTTAAGAACATCTACCCCGATCACACCCACCACTCTGAAACATGGAAAAACAGGAATTATAGACAAGGAAAAATGTAGATTTCTTTGAATTCCACTTATAGAATCATCATTCTTGGGGTGTTGGGAAACTCAAATAGAACATAAACAATATGAAAAAAGGAAGAAAATGTCTTTGGTAAAATTCAACCACCTATTTTACAGAGAGAATTTAAAGCCTCGGCCACAAGACACAAGTGTAAAACCCTTTCCTTGACCTTCACGTGACCCACAGCCTTGACAGTGGAGCAGGTCAATTCACAGGCAAACAGGAAACAGGGAGTGATTTTTGGTCCTTCACGATAAAGAAGGCTGCGACCCTAATGTTGTTTTTTTTTTAAGGTGCACAGAAACACCATGATAGCACTTACCCCAGGATAAAGAGCGGGATGGCACAGAGCCCTGCAGACAGCAGGAAGGAGAACCCAGAGAACCAGCCCACGGTGGCAGCATACACACTGTTGAAGATTGTACTGGACACACTGAAAGTTAACGAGTCCAAACAGGAGAGAGAAGCAAACAGGGCTCCTGTGGAAACACAGATAAATTCTAAGGAGTTGAATAAAAGTGTTTTGGGTTTTTTTTGTGTATTTTTTTTTTTTTTGGGCCAAACTGAAACTAGAAGTGTTTTTGCAGGAACTTTGCTCTCTGCAAACACGATACAGCCCAGTGGTTCATGACAGGCCCTTTCGACCCACTTACCCTGCTCAGTTCCGGGGATGATCTTTGACATCATCGCGCGCAAGACAGGAAAAGGCATGATGGACAAAAACAAGGGTACATGTACTGTGGTAACAGAGAAGCAAGAGAAAAGTTAAACCTCAAGTTTATGACTTCGCCTTCAGATACTGTCACTGCTCTTATATAAACAAAGCCTTTGATATAAGACAGTGTTTTGTCTTTTTACAGAGCAATAATATGTCATATAACAACTCCCCGTAGCCTGACTGCTGTCGCTCTGTGCTGTAAAAGTGCTTCAAATGACAATGTTGTTAATCAGTAACCAGAACAAATAGCCAGTAAAAAATGTTATTCATGCAATATTTGGTCTCCAAATCCTGAACCGTGTGTGTGTGTGTGTGTCCATGTGCATGCTTTGGATTCCTGTCAAATTGTTCTGATATGACTGAACTGAGATCAGATCAGACAGATCCAGTGTCTGGCCTGGGGGGCCCGTCCTGGTACTTACTTTCTGTGGTCGGGGCGTGATAATCAATACTTTTAAAATGTTTTTGTAATACTAATGAATCACATTTTCATGTATTTATATCAACATGTTGTCGTTGTTTAGCAGTTTCAGAGCCCAAAAACATTTGTCAGTACCGAATATGGAACTCTTTGGACTCACCTAAAAACATCATCAGAGTGGTTTTAGTGAACGCAATCAGGACCATGCTGATTACCGCAGACAGGATCCCAATCAGGACTATGTACAGCGGAGGCATTCTACAGTAGGTGAATAGAAACACTCCTCCAAAACTGACCAGGAACACCGTGGTGGACAAGGCTGAGCCATAACCAATCAGAATCTCAGTCCAGCACAGTGGTTCGTTGAGTTCAAACAGAGTCATCAAGGACATCCCACCCGCGTAAGCCATGTTGTAGCTGGTGAAGATCAGTATCAGGAGGATCAGAACCACTCTACTCTTGCCCCTGGTATTTTTAAACATCTCATAAACTCCGAAGATCATCCGTTTCAGCCCAGACCTCCTCGGAGAACTCTCTCCGACCAGCACAGCGCCGTGCGGCGCTTTTGTTACAGTCTCTTTTAGAACAAAAATTGCGTAGGATAAATTCAAACATTGAAATAAAGCAGAGGTCAGTAAGGGCCAGTTAAAGCCCGCAGCTTTCAGGAAGTAGCCTGTTGACACTGCAGCCACCCCGGTCAACAGACCGATCATCATGTCCAACCTGGCCATGCGCACCATGTTTTGACGACTGTCCTTGCACAGGTCTGCGACGTAGGCAAAACAGCCTCCGAGAAACGTTGCCGGACCTCCAAACAGAGAACTGAGAAAAGACGTGGCGATGAGCAGGTAGATGTTGAGCTCATAGAAGGAAATGGCCAGAAAGAACAGGGTGTAGAGCAACATGCCGATGAGTGGCATGATGATGGTCATCTTACGTCCACCCCAGTCGCTGTAAGTGACCAGCAAGAAAGTGACGATAAGCGAGGGAATTACGGTGAAGAGCTGGGTGTAGAGGGAGAAGAGCGACGCATCCCGTTGTACCTCCTGGACACAAACAGAAGGAAACAAAGAGAAAAGACACACATCAACTGATGTTGTCAAAGGTGTAGTCAAACAACCAGAAGCAGAGAGTAAACAATACAAATGAAGAGTGCATTTTTCGGAACAAGACATGTTTGGGTGTGACTACATCCTTTTACTGGTGAAAGGAACCGACTCTTTACACAGAACCTCAGCTGTAGAAGGATGATATTTCTGTTTGTGGTTTCTTTCACTTCTCTGTGAGGTGTCATAATGTCATCAAACTAGATTTAATCTTATCCCTCATCATGCACCCATCAGTCACTCCGACTGCACAACCTGCCAAGATCACATTGTCCACTTACTATATATATGGCCTGCACCATCCTTACATACTTTTATACCACTCCTGACCTACATATATAAAAAGGAGAGCTTTTTCTCACCAGTTTCTGTCATCAATGTTTTCAAATTTGTTTACAAAGTTATTTATTTATTTCCCTGTATGATCTTACATTCATTGAGCCGATTATGAGTATCTGCCAAGTTTAGCCTTAATGTACCCCTCACTACAGCTCTCCTACAAGCAGTAGCAGAGCGATAAGGGTTAGTTAGCATATCGCCAGATCATGCACTTGCTTAGTCATTACAACATAAGATGTTGCTCAACATGGATGTACTGTATCAGTTCAGGCTACGGGTGTAACACAGACAAAAAACAGTTCTGACGGGGCAAGATTAGAAGGTTTTGTTCAGTCTTCTTTGAGTGTTCTTGAAATGACACGGATGCTTTAGTGCATGCAGTGATGAGTGGCTAACCTCATGGAAGCTGGAATGGTTGCTGCTGTTGTTTCCTGCACAACTGGAGCTGTCCTGAGATACGGGGTAGGGCGTATTTGTCAGCTGTTCCCAGAGTCGTCGGTACACAAACTGCTGCACCAAAGGGTAACTAAGAAAACTGGAGAAGGCATAAAGAGCCACCACAGGCTCCACAAAATAAAGCCTCTTCATTTTTAACACCCAGGGGCTAGAAAAACAGAAAATAAAGACAGACAAATATTTAAAAACAAAAAAGGGTTAACACAGCAAAAATAAAACAGAGAAGGATGCACATGTCTGAACAGATAAGACGTTTATCTTTACGCCATACGTGTGTAGATAACAAAGAGTATGTACAATATGACAGTTCTGCTATCATCGTCTATTGTAATTTTTTTTAGTCCCTGTAAATATACAACTAGAAGATAAAAACGTGAACACAATGACAACTTTTTATGAAAAAAGAATATTCTAAGCAGGCACATTATGTTTGTAAGACTTAACTTGATCTTCTCGTTTTTACTTCCTTCTTACCCTTGACGACAGGTTTCACTGGTATCATGTTTCCTTTTTTCTGGTTGCATTCAAGTGAAAGTAAATATTCTTAAAACATGACATTCAGTCGTTGTACTGTTAATACTACCTGCAGAAGCACTGTATCCTCAAATCATATGACGTAAATCTATTTTAAAGTGAGCGATCGTCAATGCGGTTGTTATTAATCTAAGATTTCTTAACAAATGAATTAAATGATCAACAAATACTGACAAACAGTCCAAGCATCTGGTTCCTCGGACACAATGTAGAAGCGGTCAGGTCACTGTTCTCGGTATAGCGTTAAACTTTCCTCGTGAAGCCTAAAAAAACTAAATTCGGAAATAAAACTTACCTTCTAGCTCAAGTTCGCCGTTTCATGTCGTCGACGCCAATACTTGCCTGTTAAATAGCCTGCTTTAGAGGTCGCTTATAGCTCATGCATTCAATCAAAGTGCACTAGGTTGTTGTGAAGGGCTCAGGCTCCACCCTTTTAGATTTCTATTGGACAAAAATTTCCAAAAAGCCTGCTGATTGGACAAAATTAACCATCACTCGCAGGAAGGAAACACGAGACGGAAATACTGTAAATAATTTCTTTTTATTAAGAAAAAAAACATGTTTTAAGATAAAGACAAAATACTCGTAAACGAGCAGTTATTTTATTGATTTTAAACATAGGTTTTAGCAACTAAGAGCTCTGGTAAGCTAATAGTTGGGGAAACTTTACAAGGGCAAATAAAAAAAATAAAAGAAATAATATTCCGAAATAATCACATAAATGAATGTTGTACAACAGAAAATTATAGATATTTGTCTATAAAAACATCTAACAATTACGTCTCAGAAACGAACATTGACTCCCGTATTTCAAAATAAAAGATTATAGATATAATAGATCACCTACATTTTAATAACTCTGTTATTAACTCTCGGCCTGAAGGCAACCTTTGTCCAATATGAGGCTGGAAAACATTGACATTTTGTTATGATGATGTATTTGTTGTTTTGGTGCTTATCTTTTATCTGAGGTTATTGGTTCATGGAAGTGTAAAGACTTCATCGTATTGACAGGGAAGTAAAGCAGGAAAATGGTGGAGACGGGGTCTCCGATGATCTCAAGGTATTAATATATAGGTTATGTATTTGCTCTCATCTTCTCATCACAGTGAGTCAAACACAGATCATGTTCTCAAACGTCAGGAGGAGTAAATGTACAGGCAGAGAAATTTTGAGGATAATTAAAGATAATTGATCATTTTGAGGACTTAAAGATAATTGCATTACTGTCAATCAATGCCAGTAAGGTCTCATTAAGCGTTCTTTTGGCACAGTTAGCAAAGCAAGCAGTACAATTTAGCAATGATAACCTATTGTCACAAAATGAATAACTAGCAAGCTCTTTGCTTTAAATTCCCATGACCTCAGGATACTGTAACAATCACAAAATATATTCACATTGTGTTGTCTTCTGTTGTGTTGTGTTGTCTTTTTGGGACAATTACCATTTTTAAATATGTACAAAAAACAGCAACTGCACATATTGCAAGAGATCTCAAAATGAATCAACTGCTCAGCCTCAGCCTTTGCCATTTCTCTACTTTATATCTTTTTCGTTTACTTGACATGCTTTTTGTGTCATCGCTGCCACCCACAGGTCCGTGAGTATTTATCTTTTTAGTTGAAGTTCCATACACTCTTGATATAAACATCCCTGATTGAGAACCATAAGTCATTATGTCATATTATTTATCTCTTCTCCAGTGATGCCACCGTCTCTGACCACAATCTGACATCACAGCCATTTTGGTGACTCACAAAGTCACATGAAGATTGAAAGCAACTGACACTGAACACCAGAAGAGTCTGGATTTTCCAGGAAGTGGAGGACAACATATAGCTGTGTCCTGTCTGTTTATTATCTGTCCAAAACTAGAGCTGTATTTCTCAACTTTGAAACAGTAAAAATTGATTTTGTTTTTCATTGACATGTTCATACAGGACACTCTGATATCAAACGTGTTACATATTTACAGATAAACATGTCATTGGAGAAGATGGAAAAAAGGTCAGGCTACCTAGAGTGAACACTCAAGCTTCGGAGTGCTTGACCTGCACTAATGACATTACATCTCTGTGGCCCAACTACAATACATAACCAGAAATGGTCATTGCTACATTTCCATGTTCGTCTACAGTGGACAGGATGGTCATTAAATAGAATATCTTCCTGCAAAAGTTGAACAAACAGACATTTTGTCACACCTTGACAATTCTCTTGAAGGTCCAATGCACAAGAGATATAAATGATGGCCTTGAAAAGCATCCCTGTGTGAGCTGGGCCAATCATTATGCCTCAAATATGTCTCGCAAACTACGTGTTATCAATATACTAGATTACGACGACTATGACATTACCCAACATCTTGAGGCCCCACTCAAGCCACAGCAAGTTGAAGCTCCTTCATGTAGCAGCAAAGAAGTCTTTAGTGACTGTCGTCATAGCCCAGACGCTAACACTAAACCTTGCAGTGCAACACCCGGCGAGGATGTCTCTGAGGCACAATGTCCATTTCTCACTTGCCACCAACACATGTCTCCTGGAACTTCAGCAAGCCCTGAGACAGTGGACCCGGGGAAATACTTTAATTCGCCTTCTTCATTCAACTCTTCCCAATGCCAGCCACTGCCAGGACCTTTGACACGTGACTCGGCCGCAGAGACGGAGGCATCTGCAGCCGGATCTAGCAACTCTCTGTGCCAGATGTTTTGTGGTACCACCTCAGAGGCTGCGTCATCCACTGCTGCCTCACTCTTTGGTTCAGACCCTGAAGCAGGGCCCTCTAAAACTGAGCCCACCGGCCTCCTGCGACCTCCACCTCCATTCAGGTCTCGTCGTCGCTCTCGAGGGACGGCCCCATCAGCTCAGGCAGCGACCTCCTTAACTGAACCCATTAACTCTTTACACTCACTGTCTTACCCTCAACCTTGCCCAGTGTCCCCTAACGGTGACACTAGAACCCAACAGTGGGTCACTTTTGATGATGATGACAATTTCCCTCCTAGGACTAGACCACCTCAGAAGTGACAGAGATAATAAAGAAATTTAATCTTCACCACCAAATCATTTCAGACCCTTGTGTGGTCCATGTTCCTGATACCTACTGTAGGGGTCACCAGTGGAGATATGACTATGGTACCATCAGAATTTGTATAGTATTTGAAGGGTTTGTACATGTTGTGTTTATGTAAGAAAAAAAAACAGAGCGTTATTAAAATGTACAGAATAATTCCCTTCTTAATCACATGAAGTCATTCAAAAGCACACTAGCTAAAATGTGTTCTTGACTGACTAACAATATAAAGTGTGATGTTGTGCATGCAGCCACATTTGTCCTAACCAATGGTTAAACATATTTTTTTACATGTTGTTCTTCTTATATTTATTTTTCCATTTGAAATTTCTAATGTATACATATTTTTTTATTATTACTAAAAACATTACGTGGTCACACTTCTGAACATTTTGTACAAAGTAGTAACTTTAGTTTGAAAACCGGATGTGAGCCGGCTCGCTTTGTGTATTACGGTACTTCCAGATCCGTTGTCGAATTTGCGGTGTCCCTTTTAGATTTGTTTTACGGTAACGTCAGGTAGGCGTGTTTTGCGTCGGAATGTACCATCTCTCCAACACACCGGGAGTTATTTTGTTGTGACAGCAGCACAGTCACAACCCGGCGGGGGGAACACGGTAAGAAGAAATTCATAATTTTTCTTCCGTGTTATTGTACGAAACGTACACGCGCTATTCCTGGGTGTTGAAGTATAATTATGTAAGGCATGCAAAGCGTATGTAAAAGTGAACCGAATGTTATTCTTATGTAAGGCATACAAAGCCATAGGTATGTAAAAGTGAACCGAATGTTATTCCGGGTAGGTTCCACTATGAAAATATTAGGAGCTAGCCAGTGGCAGCTATCACTAGCTGTGATTAATCTCTCGAATTGCCAACGTTATCTTATAGCCTTAAAATAACGTAAATGCTTAATTCTCTTTTCCACTTTTATCTGCCTGCGTGTCACAGTCTGCATCACCCAAAACCCGGCATTAGAACCAGCTAGTGGCTAACCGTTAGCTGTAAGTATATGCGTCTTTTGCGGTTGAAGCCGAAAAGTCGTGACTGTCCGTATCGGGAGGGATGATCCTCCAGTCTCCCGGCCTCAGTAACGTTATCCTCTGCAGATCCCTTGCTTCTCATCTGGCACACTAAGGTCAAAAATGTTATTTTTTTTTCTCCTGATGTTTTTATATCGACCATTGAGTGGACTACTGCTTCCGCAATTTCAGGATTCCGGTCAAGTCGCATCACGAAATATTATTGCTCAATATCCTAAGATTCTGTGGTAATAACTGAGACCCAAGTGATGCGCGACTGTTCCAACACACACACACAAAAATTACGTTTTTAAAAGGATTGTGGCTTTATTGGGGACGCTTGTGTTATTTAATGTTGTTATTACCATTTATGTAGCATCACATATAATAATAAAAATAATAATATTTAGAACTTTATTGATACTCATACATGGGAAATTGTTGTTAACACCATATCTACTTACTACTATGCATGTGGTACTTCTGGGAATCGAACCCAGGACTACCTGTTCTCTGCTCCCATGGTGTGCTAACCGCTGTACTATGGTACCACTACGAAAGAAAAAGCAATTTGAATATTAAAGTATAAATATGAAAATATAAATGTAAGCACCAGGTCAAAGTTGTAAGCACTGTGATGCTAAAAGGCTTTGCAATAAAATATCTGGGAAAAAGTTAAAAGAGAGTTGAAAAAAAAAAAATCTTACGGAGGTCATCGTAACACCTTAGCGTCCAATCCTGGATCACCGTCAAAAAAAAAAAGACAGTGTCATATTTGTTGTGTGTCTTGTCTGATCGGTTTGCTTCTTTCTCTCTCTTTTACCTTCCAGGTCATAACAAAGGTTTTATTTCCCCTCCTAAGACAAAAATGGCCTTCAGCAAAGGATATCGCATTTACCACAAGCTGGACCCACCGCCCTATAGTGTCATAGTAGAAACCAGGACACGGGAAGAATGCCTCATGTTCGAATCAGCGGCCGTCGCTGTTCTGTGTAAGGACATTTTACTTTGATGGTTATTCTGACCATCAAAAATTGGATATTTATGTATAGTATAATCTATGTCAATATGTCTGCTACGAAATGTAAAATATATAATATATTATATACAATATATAATATGTTATTTTGTCATTGTTGTGCCTGATCAGTGTTCTGTTGCTTTTGCTCGTTCTCTAGCCTCAGCGGAGAAGGAGGCCATTAAAAATACATACACCAAGATCGTTGACGCCTATGGAATCCTGGGTGTGCTCCGTCTAAACCTGGGTAAGATACAGAAAACAACCTCGTATGTCTATTCCAATGTTCATGTAGAAGCAGGACCACGATGGCCTCCTGCTTTGTAGCTGTGTCACTGCCTGTTCATAAGCTGCTTTCTTCTGACCTGTGCGTGACCTTGAGGACTGTTGTTGACACATCAAGGAAAACGCAGTGTGAAAGATTAAGGCTTAGTCTTCAAGGTGGCATGGTTTTGACTGGAGGATGTGTTTTTTTGTGTGTGTGTGTCACTGAATGTCATCTTTAAGTCAGGATGTCTTTTGTCCAATCTGGAGAAGTTTAACGTTCAAATTGAATTTCTGCAGGAGACTCCATGCTCCACAGTCTGGTGGTGGTGACAGGATGTAGTTCTGTCGGGAAGGTGCAGGATTCAGAGGTTTTCAGGGTCACACAAACAGATTTCATATCGCTGAAGAACGATCCCGGAGATGAGGACCGTATCGCTGAGGTGCGAAAGATCCTCAACTCGGGACACTTCTACTTCGCCTGGTCGTCCACTGGAGTCAGCATGGACCTGAGTCTCAACGCACATCGCAGGATATTGGAAGATACTACAGATAACCGCTTCTTTTGGTAAGCGCCTGACGAGTTAGAGATCTATTTTCCATTTCTCATCCGTCAGCTTCTTCTGCTGTATAACTTACCTTTATATTGGTGATTCAAATCAACAGGAACCAATCGCTGCATTTGCATCTGAAACATTACGGAGTGAACTGTGACGATTGGCTGCTGAGGCTGATGTGCGGCGGCGTGGAGATCAGGACCATCTACGCAGGTCACAGACAGGCCAAGGCCTGCATCTTCTCCCGCCTCAGCTCAGAGCGAGCGGGTACACGGTTCAACGTCCGGGGAACGAATGACGACGGACAGGTGGCCAACTTTGTGGAGACTGAACAGGTTAACAACTGTTTATTTTTATTTTTTCAAAGCCTCTGATAATTTGATCATTTTGGTCAGACTATAATGTGACCCTTCATGCCCCCTGATCATGTGCCTTAATAATAATAATAATCCTGGCAAATATTTTTATTTATATTTTTATTGAAGGGAACCACATGGATGGTATTTTGTAAAAAAATAAAGAAATGACAGAAGCCAATGTTTTATTCACAGCTATTATGTAGGTAGATTTAATTAGGTTGTTTGTTTTTTGTAAATAGTTTGGTGATATTCACAACTATTATGTAGGTAGATTTAATTGTTTGTTTTTTGTAAATAGTTTGGTGCCACTGTGAAGCCGTGGTCCTTGTGACATTTGACATTTGTTGACACCATGACAGTCGTGATGTGAACCTTTTAAAATCCTCAAAAACCTCTCTCGTCCTGCACAGGTCATCTTTCTTGACGACAGAGTTTCATCCTTCATTCAGATCCGTGGATCCATTCCTCTCTTCTGGGAACAGCCGGGCATCCAGGTGATCTGTCCTACAGTATCCACACAGTCTTTAACTCTCTCACACCCAGCCATGTTGAAGAGGAATATAGAAAAACAGTGCTTGTGTTTGTGATGAAAAACCTGTTGGTCTGGTCTGTTGATTACATTTCACAGGCACAAAAACAGTCATCTTCTCGTTGTTGTTGTTCTTGTGCCTGTGTCTGACTGTTATTCCATAAATAATAATTTTTGTTCATGCTGTGTTCAGAAAAAATCCATTAAGGGTGTTTTGTTGCAACTGAATGAGAATCGGAACATAGACGGACTGGATGAGAACCCCCACCTGGTATAACCCACTTTTTTGGCTTTTTTTGTGGTGCTGGCGCTTCTGTTACTGCAGGTGGGAGTTACTCTGTGCAATGCCAACGAACAGGACAGGAGTTAAAACAACTGGATCAATGTGTAGTCTATAATTACACAGTAATACTAATAAGAAACCAGAGAGTCTCACTGGATGGACTCCATAAACATGAATTTTTCCTCCTGTCCTGACATTGCACAGACTGGTGGACGAGATCAGACGTGGGGGAGGTTTTTGACAGTTGTTGGTCAGTGGTTGGTAAAGGGCATTTCTCTGTTCTTCTCAGCTCCCAGACTTCCTTGGTCAGGTGAGAGCCTGGTCTGAAAACATCCCACGACCTTCACCTGTAGGCAGACCAGTCATTTAGTCACAGAGTAGTCGGCTTGTGGCTGTTTTCAGACCAACGTTTAGTCCTCCTGTCTTAGCTGTCTGACTCCTCAACTCAGCTGTGGCTTCTACGCTTTTCCTCCCTACACTTTTTAATTCAACGCATTCCCTAAACATGGTAGTTCAGAGAGTTAGAAAACATGACACTTTGGTTTAACATAGACTTCGGTTCATATTAGTAAAACTAGTCGTAGTGCATCAGTAGTTAGTAGGGCTTTGACGACTGTTTTTTTTTTATATACATGAACTTATCTTAGGACAAACCACGGAAACACATGTCCAGCAATGAGCTTCTAACTCTTTGTACCTTACGTTTGTCGCTTATAATGAAGAGAACACAGCAACTGAATAATTACAGGCTCGTAGCTCAGATGCTTTATCTTCCTCTGTCCTGTTCTGTGATGTGTTACCGAACATCTGACTCACAGAAATTAATTACGCCGACACAAGAACCCATCTGATTCTCTGTAATTGATCGGATTAGCTCGTCGGCCTCCTTCCTCTTTTTTATCTCCTACTTAATTGGTTTACAATGATATAATTATACAATCATACATTTCCACAACACTCAAAACTAGAAATTTATTTTGCCTCGTCTTTCAGTGACTTAATACACTTTTAAAGCTTAAACAGGAGCTAAAATGTATTGCAGACATGATCTGTAGAAGAGAAGAGACCACAGAGGTTTCTGTGGTCCAGCAGTAACCTGAGTCTACTCAGATGCCATCTCAGGAAGTTATTAAATATGCAAAGCACTGGCCTGCGTGACAGTGGAGATGGTGAGGACTGATAAAATGGCACACGCAGACAAATACAAACAAATTAGTTTGATTCATGGGGAGATAGAACGTTGTACAAAAGAACAGTTCTTACAAAAATGCACCTGGTAACAAGAAGAAGAGAAACATCAGATGTAAATATGTATTTCTATCAGGCTGAACAGTAAAAAGAAAGAACAGGGACGTAAGTATTGCAGTATATCACAATATATGGTATTGTTGCTCGTATTGTGATACGTATCGTATCGCCAGATTCTTACCAAGACTTTAAAACAAAAATAAAACTACTCTGCCTACGCAATGTGCCTTTAACGATGCCTTTAATTACATATTAAATTTCAAGACAATCTGTTTATTATTTTCAAAAATATTCCTGACTCTTAACATTTGTTAAAGTAGAAGAATTGTTCAGACTAATGTATGCCATGCAGCGCGAGTTATAAAGCTAAGCTAGCGCACTATGCTAACGCTAGCTTAATTTAAACAGTTTTTTTTACAATTGGAGTAAACACATGGTAAACAACCATGTTTGCTCCCACTTTGTTTTCTTCTCCTTCAGGCTATTTGCGTCTTTTTGTGTCGTAGTCTGAAAGGGGTTTAAGTTTTAAAAAGATTCACACTAACCAAACAAACTGATTGACAGCTGTAGTGGGTTTAGCCAATCAGATTCCAGGGGCAAACGGCATCGTCACCTGACACACTGTAAACAATGCTCCTGTCAGATTCTGGTTAATTATGATACATTACAGCATCTTGTAGTAATTTAACACATACATTATGTATAATTATAGTGTGGAATATATTATTACTGCTCCAAAGATGGAGAGTAATTGTATTCATGTGAGGTAATGTGAAAAGTTTGAAAGATTCTGACATGTCATCAAATCACATTTAATGACGACGATGATACGATACTTTACACCGAACAACTTTCTATTGTAATGTAATCTATCGATCAGGTCTGATCCAAAACTGGGACCGTAACGGCCTCACAGTGGATGGATAACAAGCCGTGACCTGCTGTTGACGAGGAGCTGGTTACAGCATATCTCTGGGCTTATGTCCTAAAGCTGGTGCAGTCATGTGCGGTCATGTTCTCTGGTCTTTCTCATGATTCAGTCACTGAGTTCCCACAGAGGCTTGAAGTCCATGGAATTACCTTGTAACTTTAACTTCACCAGAGTTCAAATAAACACTGCAAGCATAAGTTAATGTTTGTCAGAGATGGATTGTAGAGCAGAAATGTAAATGAACTTATGGTCAGGGTAAAGCTAAAAGTTAGCTGTTAAAATGCTAAAAGTTAGCTTGATGAAATGGATGGAAACAGCTGGGATTACTGGAAAAATAGAAAAGGGAAAAAGACACAAAACACAACTTAAAGAAGGGAGAATTGTTAGCTAATAGATAAAGATATGTTTTAAAAACTCTAATTGACTGATGACACCTGTTACCGTCAGCAGCTACAGTACATACTGAACATCAAATTCAAGGATGAACATTTAAGTTAACATTGTTAGCAGGGAGAGCTAACGTGCGACAGGGTACGAATTATTTGCTTTGTTCTGTGCCTGGGTTTCTGTGTTCCATCTCTTGTCCTCCCACGCTGTTTGTCTGAGGCTGTTTTTCTACTTTTAGATTTAGTTCCAATCAGAGGTCTTCTTTCTGCTTCTTAGGTGCTCATAAAAATAAAAAAAATTACCTTCTGTCCCAAATCATTGATCACTTTTTCATCAGCAGGTTTTCTTTGGCCGACTGCAATTTGTTATGTTTACAATATTTTGTTTTTGTAACTCTATTTGTCTCTTTGTTTTTGTTGTTGTTTTTTTGTCTCCATCTCTGCCCTGTAGGTGGGCTCCCATCGTGTCAAACTCTCCAGGGGATTCGAGGCGAACGCACCAGCATTTGAGAGGTAATGAAAAGGTTCTGTGTCGTGTTTTTGTGTGTGTGTGTGTGTGTTTGTCGCCTGCTTTATCTCTCCTCCAGCTGATAACTGTTCCTCTGAAGCTCAGCGCACAATGAAACACTACCTTCACTCCTCTGCCTCTGCTGCTGCTGCTGCTGCTTAAACTCCAACAAAAAAAAGCCCTGCTGACTGTTAATGACCACTGTGTTAATTGAAGTCAGTCTAACGTCATATGTCATCCTGTATGTGTGTGTGTGTATATATATATATATATACTGTATGTATGTGTATATATGAGAATCAGAACTATATATATATATATATGTGTATATATATATGTATATATACATATATATGTGTATATATATGTGTGTGTGTATGTATGTGTATATATGCATATATGTATATGTATGTATATATATATGTATACATATTTATGTATATATAGGACTGTATGTTTGTGTGTATATGTATGTCCATATTATATATTTATGCATGTATGTCCATATACATATATGTATAAATAAATATAATAAATATATATATATATATTTACATTCATACATATATAGACATATATAGATTTAGATCTTTTTAGCAGAAACACACCTCTTGTCCAAACACGTCTTCTGAAGAACCGATGGTTCTAATAACCGTGCTGCGTTCACTGTGACTCAGCCCGTCGTCGTCCACCTTATTACAGTTTTGTAGACTCCCTCGTTTGTACATAAGCAACAATTACTGCCATTCCTACAAAACCAGTGATCCTGAGGTTTGTACACAACAAGTCAACGTTGTTGTATTTGTGTAAAGTACTCAAGGGAAAGTAGTTTGTTGCTCCATTTATGATGTCGTTCTACATTGATGTCTGTGTGTGTGTGTGTTTTCTGCAGACACTTTATTGTAAAGTACTTAAGGGAAAGTAGATTGTTGCTCCATTCATGATGTCGTTCTACATTGATGTGTGTGTGTTTTCTGCAGACACTTTACCGCCCTGCGAATGTTGTACGGCAAACAGGTGATCATCAACCTGCTGGGGAGTAAAGAAGGCGAACACATGCTCAGCAAAGCCTTCCAGGTGAGAAGAAGCGTTTCTTTCTTCGGCTCTGAAGTGGTTCCAGGCAGAATGCTGTCCGACTGCATTTTAGACAGTAAATACTATTAGATGTTATCACGAGGCGCCACTTTTTGTACACACTCCCTGTGTAGTACTGTTTCAAATCCTTGCAGACTCGTCAGGTGTCATATATGTGTGCGCTTCAAACTGCAATGCATTTGCTTTTCTGGGGGTCAAAAATTAAATTAAAAAGGTTTTAATAGGGAAACCTTGGGGAGTTATTTGTCAGGTTCTGCACACATTAAAAAAAAATCTCATGTCATTGAATTTATTTCTATTCAAATACAGTTTTACTGCATTATACTGCATTTGCTTGTTTAAATTGTTTCTGTTTTTGTTTCTTTCCCCAGAGTCATTTGAAGGCCTCAGAACACGCAGCTGCCGTGAAAATGGTCAACTTCGATTACCACCAGAACGTAAAAGGAGGAAAGGCGGACAAACTCCACAGCATTCTGAAACCTCAGCTGGGCAAGTTCGTGGAAGAGTGTGGCTTCTTCTACTACACCGGGGAGAAGGGAATCACGAGGTCAGCGTTACGCTGACGATACTGTCATTTACACCCTCACGGTCTCTGAAGGGTTAAACCGCTCGGTCTGTAATGTCCTTTCACTTTGTGAACACGTCTCTGCAGAACTCAGGGTGGAACCATCAGGACCAACTGCCTGGACTGTCTGGATAGAACCAACAGTGTTCAAGCCTTCTTTGCCCTCGAGGTCAGTGTCTTTCACAGAGTGACCTCGTTTTGAAGATTGCTTTGCTCAGCATGATTGTGTCACCATTGATGGGGTTTTTTTTTTTCCCATATCTCCATGCTACCTCAGATGTTGCCGAAGCAGCTGGAAGAAATGGGTCTGACAGAGAAACCACAGCTGGTGGCCCGGTTCCAGGAGGTTTTTAGAACCATGTGGTCGGCCAACGGAGATTCAGTCAGCAAGATCTACGCAGGCACCGGGGCCCTGGACGGCAAAGCCAAGGTACAGAGTACTGATGGGGCAGTGAGGATCTTGTCATAATACATAACAGTGTAGTACTCAGTACTGCGCCGTGTGGCTGCGAGTGGTTATTGCACGACCTGGCAGAAGTTTGCATGAACAGTCGTGATCAGAGTGTTTGTTTGTTTGTTTCTAAACCTCTGTGTGATGTTTTCTTTCTGCTGTCCTCTGGACCTCTCTTCCTCTGTGGTAAGTGATCGAGTCACGTGACGTGGCGTTTGAACTCTGGGTCTATTTCCTGGTGTCATGCTGATGCAGTGTCTGTGGGTGAATTGATCATGAAAAGGGCCAAAAAGTTAACAGCAGGGGGTTCGATTACTTTATTACTGACATGTAGTTGTGGGTGGTTTTTGGTCAGAAAGTGTCCCGTGGGCCAAAGGTTTGAGACCCCTGGTTTGGAGGAACTAAACGAGGAACTTTACAACCCCATATTAATTGCACTGTTAAACTCGTTAATCAGTTTTTACTAAAATGAATAAGATTTTGTCACAATTTATGTATAAAACAAAATTAGGTCTGCCTAAGACTTATACCCACCACTGTATGTTGTGGGGTTTTATTTTCTAAGATAATCCTCATATATTTTATATTCCAGTGTTTAATTTTTGTGATGAGTTGAACCTGCAGGAATGAATTAAATTTTGTTTTATTTGGCAGAAAAAAATTGTATAAAATTATGATTCTGCTCTGCAGGTTCAACAGTCTTTTATTTCTTTACTTGAATCTGAAGCTGTTTCTCATTTACTTTAACAATGATGTAATTGATGTAATGTCATTTTTTGTGCTGATATGATTTTTTAATGATCTAAACAGTTGTTAAGAATTTGTCATTTTTTGTGCTGATATGATTTTTTTTTTTTTCTAGGCCGGAAAGTTGAAAGACGGAGCTCGTTCTGTGACGCGGACCATCCAGAACAACTTCTTCGACAGCTCCAAGCAGGAGGCCATCGACATCCTGAGGCTGGGCTCCACGCTCAACAGTGACCTGGCCGACAAAGCTCGGGCCTTGCTCACCACGTCCAGTCTTTATGGTACGTTTTCTACATTAATAATAATAGTATATGACTTGTTGTAAATACTCCTACCTGCTTTGTTCTCTCTGTGGCTTTATTAAAATGTATACCGTAAAAAGTGAAACTGTTTAAAGGCCTACGACCAGTCCTGACCTGTGCCTGTTACTCTCTCTCTCTCTCAGGCACAATAAGAGGGTTTGTCTGTGCAGCGTCAAGTAGAAAGTGTAATCTCCATGTGTCAGGCCTCTCGTCTGTCTGAGATTAACCCAGACCGACTGCTCTGACGGCATTATCTGTGCAAGCACTGGTTAACCCACCCTTGTCTCCTTTCTCTCCCTTCTCTCCCACCTGCTCATGCGCACAATCTTAGTCACTGAGCCCGTCTTACAATCAGGTAACTGAGGTCACAGAGGTCACCAGTGGATGAATGGATCCCGCCCCTCCCCCCCCGGTGTTGTGTTTTCATCTGTGTTTGCCGCTCACTTTTTAACGTTCATTCCTTGTTTGATATTGGTCGTGGTTCAACCCGAAGGATTTTGGATACATTGGATTTTGTCATCAATAAAATAAAACAGAAGTTGAAGTTGAAAAACACTGAACCACTACCAATGCTTATTTTATTTTATTTTATTTGCATGTCCAAAAGAAAAAAAAGTTCACCTCCTTCCTAGTTTTCTTTTCTAGAACCTCTTCACCATTTTTTTCTTTTTGTATTTGAGCGCCTCCCTGTGGTTTTGTAGATGTGTTATCTGTTTTTTTTTTTCATGTCACACTTTACAAGAACACACAAACATTGACAGCCAACTGTTATCTGACTGTACGCTCTTCTCATCTCCAGCATCTCCACGAGTGCTGCTAGGAATGTGTCAAAGCTACCAAAAATACACCAGGCCCAAGCAGATCCGCGTCTGTGTCGGCACCTGGAATGTCAACGGCGGGAAACAGTTTCGCAGCATTGCTTTTCGCAACCAGACGCTAAACGATTGGCTGCTGGACGCTCCCAAAATCGCAGGACTTCCTGAGTTTCAAGGTAGGTTGGCTTTAAGTTTTCTAAGAACTGGTGATGAATGAGTAATGTTGTTACATTGTTATGTTATAGAGGAGTGTGTAAGTGACAGAGTTGTCAAGCTCACATTTAAACAAGGGCCAAAATTGTTACAAAGTTGATGTTGATTCCACACGTCAGACTTTGCCTATTCTTACATCCCTAGTGTATTATCATAAAAAACATTATTTGTAGAAAAATATGCATGGTTAAAAAGTTTCTTTTACTCAGGACAACCCTACACTTGTGTTTGTTTTTGTTTTTCCACAGACAGCAAGGCCAACCCCATAGACATCTTTGCCATAGGATTTGAGGAGATGGTTGAACTGAACGCTGGCAACATCGTCAGTGCCAGGTGTGTTTGCAAAGTCAAATAAAACTAAAGACACTGAACTGTGACAGTGTACTGTATGTTGGACACCCCGGTCTTTAAGTCTTTGTTAATCGACACACAAACTCTGTCTCTGTTCTTAACCCAGCACCACCAACCAGAAACTGTGGGCGGCCGAGCTTCAGAAAAACATCTCCCGAGATCACAAGTATGTGCTGCTGGCTTCAGAGCAGCTGGTGGGAGTGTGTTTGTTTGTGTTCATCCGCCCGCAGCACGCACCCTTCATCAGGTATGACATGTTGGCGTCCTTTTTGGAAATATATATAATTATTAACAATAACGTTTAAAGCACGGGTGTGGCTAAAAAAAAAAGTCCTTGTCCTTTTGTTTTATTTCCTTCAGAGATGTCGCTGTTGACACTGTCAAAACTGGAATGGGTGGGGCCACTGGCAACAAAGGAGGCGTGGCCATCCGCCTCCTCTTCCACACCACCAGCATCTGTTTCGTCTGCTCTCACTTCGCGGCCGGCCAATCGCAAGTCAAGGAGAGGAACGACGACTACAACGAGATCACGCGCAGACTCAGCTTCCCCATGGTGATTAAGTGTGAATAATTACATGGCACAAACCGCCGTATGTGAGGCTGTCAGTGCAGACTGCAGTCGTGACAAATGGGAGGTGTTTGGACCTCGGCGTGCTGAGGTGATGGATGGGGTGAAGTCAGGTCAGGGACATCAGGCAGTGTCACAAAGACGGGTCTCAGGGAGAAGGCCGCCTGCTGCTGGTCCATGTGGCAGCTCAGTATATTAGCTTCGACTCCAGCGGATGAGGAGAAGAAGATTAGAAAGTGATACACACACACACACACACACACAATCTGCTTGTACTCTACTGGTGACAGATTGGATCTTTGTTTACCATTAGGATTTTATTCATTTTTGGCAACATCCCAGAGATTTCTCCTTGCAGAAATATTCCCATTGTTTTCCCCCGTCCCTTCATCAGTTTGTGTGTCGTTTTCCCAGGGTCGTCTGTTGTACTCACACGATTACGTGTTCTGGTGTGGAGACTTTAACTATCGTATCAGCCTGCCCAACGAAGAGGTCAAAGAACTCATCAAACAGCAGAACTGGGACGCCCTAACTGCCGGTGACCAGTTGGTGGATCAGAAGAACGCTGGTCTGGTACGGCCAAACACAATATCAATGATTTTATTTTATTTATTTATTTTTTGTGTATTTAATGTTTTTATTTTGCACAGATCTTCCGAGGTTTCATTGAGGGAAACTTGGATTTTGCTCCCACCTATAAGTATGACCTGTTCTCAGAAGACTACGACACCAGTGAGAAGTGTCGCACGCCCGCCTGGACTGACCGTATACTCTGGAAGAGGAGGAAATGGAACTTTGATAGAACTGGTGAGATACAGAACCACAGTTTTTTTCTGCTTTTATAATTAAAACAACAAAATAATCTGTTTATTATTTTTGCTCTCTGAATGTGTTGCACAGCTGAGGAGCTGAACATAGTTGGTGCAACTTGTACATCGGGGGAGAACGAGGATGATCCAGATCATCCTTGGAGCCCAGGGTCTCTGAAGTACTACGGCAGGGCTGAGCTGAAGACCTCCGATCACAGGTACCAGAGGTTTTTTTTTTTTAATAAAAAAATAATGTATCTTTAAAAGTTACAAATAGACTAGAAGATTCTAAACCATGTCCGTCTTCAGGCCAGTGGTGGCAATAATGGACGTGGACATCCTGGAGGTCGACCCCGAGGCTCGACACCAGGTCTACAAAGACGTCATCGCCCTCCAGGGGCCTCCCGATGGAACTATCCTGGTGTCGCTGTGCACCTCCGGCCCTGATGACTACTTTGATGACGCGCTCATCGATGAACTGCTGGACAAGTTTGCGAACTTTGGAGAAGTGATTCTCATCAGGTGAGTCATTTAACCCCTAAATCAGAACAGATGTCACCATTAGCAGGTTGAAATACATTGTCACTGTTCCGGTTTGTGCAGGTTTGTGGAGGAGAGGATGTGGGTGACCTTCCTTGAAGGTTACTCCGCTCTCGCTGCTTTATCGCTCTGTGCGTCCTCTGTAAGTAGTGATTTTATTATTTATTTATATCTTCGTCTCATGGCATAAAAACATGTGGATGTTTAAATTAAATTACAAACAAAGAGAAGTATTTTGACGACATGTTTTCTTCACATGCCTTTGCAACATTGTAGGTCCTTGGTAAAACCATTGACATCCGTTTGAAGAGTCCAGGCTGGATCAAGAGTCTGGAGGAGGAGATGAGTGCGGAGCGAATCTGTGGCAGCATCCCTACCTCTGCCAGCTCCACTCTACTGGCCGAGGACACGGACATGGGCGATGATGATTATGACATGGAAGGTGGGTTTTGACGGACGTTCGATCCTCATCCTCGGTCTCTTTTACTTCAGATTAGAGGTCTCAAATTTAAATCACCCACTGACTGGAGAGCTCGGTCTGACATGACTATGATATAGTACAGTAGAAAGTATCCAGCGTTTCCTCACTGCATTACTCTGCCTGTTATTGTCTGTATTCCCAAATCAGTCTGTCAGCCATGACACGTTAAAATCACTACGTTCCTCCTCTGTTATGTTCTGCATCAGGTGATGTGGACGAGGAGGTGGAGGAGATCCTACCCCAGCACCTTCAGCCTGGAGCCGGTGCAGGTCCTGGCTACTCTCCCGCGCCCTCCCCTCGCACCAGCCCCTGTCCATCTCCCACTCACGGAGAGCCAGCGGCTCCCAGTCGACCCAGCAGAGCACCGCAACCTGCCCGACCATCGCAAGGTGAACACAGCAATGTAGCATGACACACACACACACACTTATAAACAGAGTATCAGTCGGTTAAATCTGCAGACTAAGTATATGCTCATGTTGCAGCCTGCTTCAGTATAAACAGTCATTTTGCTCTGTTTTGATGAACGGTAGCAGATTTAAGTCCATCGTCACCAAGGAGAGAACTTCCAGGTAACGTAGTGTGTCATTTAGGTTTGTCGTGGTGTTTGACGTGCTTCATAGTTCAGTGTATGAAGGAGTGCTGTGATTTTTTAAATAATTTCCAATAAGGCCCATGTGTGCAGTGTCCAGACCTGGAGACGATATCAGATAAAACACTACTGTAGAACTAGTGCTGCGCAGAAATCGTGTTTTTCTGCAACTAATTTTGATTTTTTTTTTCTTTCAGGGCCTCCTGTTGATTTCCAGCCAGGTGCTCCCACCTCTCAAGTTTGGGAGCCCAAACGTCCTCCTCCACCTCGCCCTAACGCCCCCCCAGCCAGACCAGCTCCACCACAACGTCCACCACCGCCTTCAGGTACATACAACAGTTAAAACGTGGAGGTTCTTAAACAATTTGAACCACATGCAGCAGCACAGGTCTACAATGATCCAAGTTCTAAAACTACACACAAACTGTGCCAGTGAGAACATATAACTGCTGTAAAGGTAATGAAAAAAATATATACATACATACATACTTTTTTTTTATTCGATAAGTAGGACATATATTGCAACAGGGAAAATAGTCAAATTAGTGAAAGAATATAGAAATACAAATATGAATAATACACCCTGTGTTTTTATCCACTGATCCACTTCATTTCAAAAGCACTGTTCCCTGTGTTTTATTCATTGATCCACTTCATTTCAAAAGCACTGTTTCCTGTCTTTAACTCTAAGACTGTGTCGAGGGTCTCAGTCCACGTCTCGGTCGGAGAGGCAGTGAAGGTAACAGGGCGGGCTGTGTCTTTTCACAAGTGTTACCTGAGTCCTGTTGTCTTAGCGTTAGCCTTAGACCAAGAGATCCATGCTAGTGATGTCATTAAATATTCATTGGTTCTTTGTGAGTCACTTTAGTTGTGTGTTTGTGAGAACTGTGCTCCTAAAATATATATATTTTTATATGAATAAGGATCATGTTACTTTCTGGTATCCCTAAGTGGGAAATGTTAGCAGATCATTTTATGAATATAATCTTTATATATTCATTAACAATATTCGACAATAAACAAGTGTCTTTCTTAAGATTAATTTTGAACAGATGGAAACAAAAAAAATAAAAAATAAACTAGTGATTAATCATCAGTTATCTGATGACTGTTAAAGGATTAATCACGATTAAATACTTTAATTTAAAGCACTCTTTGACCGATAGTCACATCATCTTAGTCTTCACCTGCAGCGTCTGCACTGTCACCATAGTAGCTAATCTGACAACGTGATGTCATGAGAAACCGCTGGCTGTTGTTGGTATTTTTACTCTGTGTATAACAGTAACATGGTTTGGTTTCCTTTGTGCTGCAAAGGACCAAAAAGCCCCGCCCTCTCTCGACCAGATGCTGCCGCAGGTGAGTCTCAGCAAAGACATGACGCGGTTTCAGTCAGCCGCCGTCTTCCTTTTTGGTCCGGTTTCCCCTGATCCTGATTAGATCCTTCAAGCCCCATTCACTGCCCACATTCTGACTCTTCCTTTTTGCTCCGGTTTCTCGTGATCCTGATTGGATCCTTTAAGCCCCATTCACTGCCCACATTCTGACATGTGTGCCTTACGTTTGGCATGGTTGTGGGGGAATACATCCACTAGGGGGCATTGCTGCGTCCAGAGTTAATTTCTATCCGAAGTCAAGTCTCATACTGCTCGACATCGCCGCAGTGATTCACAGTGGTACTGCTCCATTCCACATGCTAATGATCACCACAAAACACCACTAAAGACAGTGAATGATTTTACAACATGAGGTTCCATTGTCTAATATTATAGGCAGGAGCAAAACTAAACACTGCCCCCCAGAGGCCGAGGGCCTAACACTATGAAAACCACTGCTTTACGATCTATTTAGAATCAGTAGAATAGTATTTATACTCTGGGCTTTTCTGTTTTCACACCTTCAGGTCGAGGCTCAGCAGCTGCAGGAGCTCCTGGACCTCCTGGAGGAGGGTCTTCCAGACCGGTGAGACTACAGGACGGAGACTAACACAAACAGATCAGGATGATTTTATGGTCAGAACTCTTAAATCTGTGTATATCTTGCAGAATATTCCTCCCAGAGCCGGGGTGATCAGTATGCCGCCACTTTCCCGTCCGCCACCTCTCTCCCACCCTGGAGCACCCAGACCTATCCCAGAAATGCACCCAGGGGCCCCTCGACCCATCCCAGACACTCACCCTGGAGCCCCACGGCCTATACCTACGAGTGTCCAGGAAAAACCACCTGACCTGCCCTCTGGTAAAGTATTTGTACTGTCACCTGAGTTCACTGCATCTGTAATCCTCTGACAACACTAACGTTTTCCAGAAAGAAATACAGACATGGGTGAGTTGGCTTTCCAGAAAGAAATACAGACATGGGTGCAGTACCAGCATTGACCAGCTGGAGCATATTACATTTTCTGCAAGTTATTGTCTTCTGTTTTCACCCCTCAGGTCCTCCACCCTCAGGACCACCTCTTGCAGTGAGAGCCCAGGCTCCACCACAGATGCCCCCATCCACTGCCCCGTCACAGCTCCCACCCCCGATGCAGCCCACCCTTCCAGCACCTCTCCTACCACAGCAGGCACCTCCTGCTCCTCCTGCTGCCCCTGCTGCCCCTGCTCCTCCTGCCCCTGCTTCTGCTGGACCTCTTTGACGTCTGGCCTCTCCTAAAGCTCCACCCCGGTCCCGCTCCTCTCACGCCTTGCCACCTGATGCTGCCAAGTCAGACGCAGGCCCCGCTGCACAGGTTGGTGTTGACGTTTGTTTTTTTTTTTCACAACAATTCTCAAAGCTCACTTTACTCTGAGACACTTTTTAGTGCAGTTTCCTCTCCTTACTGGATATTTGATGCTAAACTTTGATCGATCTGCTTCGTGAAAAGATGGGTTTACTGCAGCTGTCTGTCATTCTCCTTCTGCTTCTCTGTCTCTGATACATTTGTTTCTCTCTCACAAGCCGGAGAAGCCCTCAGGGTAACAGGTACATGAGATTAATAACACCTTTTGTGTCATTTCCCATAGCAGTGCAGTCGCCCGCACCTCTCATGCATCACATCCTTAAACCTTTTTTTTTTTTTTTCATCTTGTACTTGATTTTGAAAGCTCGTCACATCTCCTCCTGTTATTTGTTTTTATACTGGATGTTAATAGCTGAATGCACAGCATTGCTTGATTTTTTTTTTTTTCTTTGTCAGCATCCTTAGGCAACGAATGTTATTTGCTGTTGTTGGTTGAATGATAAAAAAAGAAAACCAAAGCAGATGTTATATCTGCTAATTGTTATATCTGCCTTCACATGAACAAATGTGTAATATACATTGTGGATCAGGCCTTCACATGAACAAATGTGTAATATAACAACGTTTGTTTTCAATAAGTTGTAATTTTTCATTCACATGTATTAGAGTCAGTGCCTGTATGTGAATCATCTACACGAGTCGTCAGCAGTGGTAGATTTAACTCAACTAAGTCTGAGTTGGAGACAAGGCACCCTGTGGAGGTTCTTATTGGCCAATAAGGAACAATTAAAGTTTGTTTGTCACTCTCAACTGACCAATTGGCTGTGACGAGTTGGTGGTTAGTTTCCATTCACGTACACTGATGGAAAGTAGTTTCACCATTCTGATGTAGACAGACTGGATGAGTATAGGACAATGTAAAGACTTCAACCAACAACAACACTCCACAGGGTCTCTTTTAGTTGGAGATGAAAAACGTGTCATAATAACATTAACACGATGACTGTTGTTTTTGTGAAACTACGACCCCTAAAGGTTATTTCTGTCATTGCTTCCACTCTAGACAAATGGACTGAATGGAATCCAAAGCGAAGCACAATGGAAGCCTGACCCCTTGGACACACTCACGTCTGATTTATTCTCCTCTTCTTCCTCCTCCTCCTCCAACAACTGGCGAAACACCCAGTCCCTCACCAGAGGCTCCTCCATGCGCGCTCCTCCCTCCGTCCCTCCGTCCACGTTCTCCTCCAGCACTCTCCCCTCGTCCTTCTCCCTCCAGTCCTCCGCCCTGTCAGACCTGCAGGCGCTCGATTCCTCGTCATCCTCCTCCTCACTGTCCAACGCGTCGCCATTTGCCTCCTCCTCCTTGCTTCTGCCTCCTCCTCCAGTCCCGTCTCGCAGTCGCTCACAGGAGACACTTCGTTGTTCGCCCGGTCCCTTCCCCACCAACACTCTCCCGGCCCGGCCCAGCAGCACCAACCCCTTCAGTGGACCTTTGGCTCGGCAGCAGCCGAGCCGTGCTCTCACCCCCGACTTCAGCAGCCACAATCCTGGACCAACAGCCAACCTGCACAGGACCATGTCTGTTTTCGCTCAGCCCCTCATCCCCACCCCGGCTACATCAGCGCCTCCTGCCTCGGCTGCTCCGTCCTCCCACCTCCAGAGGTCCATGTCCCTCTTTGACTCGTCCTCCATTCTCACTGCTGCACCTGCTCCTCCACCTCTCATGAACAGAAACCCCTCACCTGCTCCCACTTTACCTCTGGCAACAGCCTTCTCCATCCCGCCTGCCTTCGCTCCCCCTGCAGGAGGCAAACCTCCCCAGCAGTGGGTCACTTTTGACGAAGATTCCGGTTTTCCTCCAACGACCAAAACGTCACAGAAACCCACCTTTCCTTTCAATTCCCTCGCTCCCCAAACTCAGACTCAAGCCCCTCGCTATGTGTTCGACTCGGAGCCCGACTGGTTGACCTCGGGTCCCTCGGTATTCCCGACCCTGCCCCCTCCCATCCTGGGAAGAACTGCAACGAATAACTCAACCCTCGCGGAGAGACCTGGTGACGGCTGCTTCTTCTCCAGGGAGTCCACAGAAAGATAGGATCTTAAATGTATAACCTGCATATGTGTTAATCTATGACCAATGTGTATATGTGTGTGTGTATGTGTGTGTATGTACAGTGACGTGATTATTTTAAGAGGTACAGACCAGTTCACCTTCTGTGTCACAGGAAGTGAAGAGGAGAGTGTGTGTGTGACGTGACTTCACCCCCTGGTGTTTGGGTTTATTCGACCCGCAGTCGACCCCCGTGTTTTATTTCTGCTGCTCGTGTCCTGTGTGTTATACAAAAGGTTTATCTTGTACGCACAAGTTTTTTTTTTGTGAGCTCCAGTGCAATATCAAGGCCTGGGTCAGCGCTGAAACACTGCAGTCTGTATCTCCCTCTCGGTTTTGACTCTCACCTATTATCACGTGATTGGACTTTCCGATGCAGTTATTGTCCAGTTTCTGGGTTTTGTTCGACGGCCGTACAGGGAGCGTCCCCTGGAGCTTCTCATCCACATATCATTCAGTGAGCTCTCAGCTAACATGTTAGCTTTGGTTGAAGGTATGCAACATCTACTTTTTTCCAAATTAACTGCCAGACTTGGATCTTTTTTTTTTTCAGAAAGTGATGCAATAGGCCCCAATGCATTTTGACACTGCCCTGTACACAGTAGAGAGAATCCACAGTATAGTAGTCGGGACGTCTGTCGCCAACGTGCACTTCTACGTATGTTGCTTCATTTCAGATGGTTTCTCAATCTTTGGTTCACAGGAAGATTCTAAAAGGGTTTTTTTTTTAGATGGAATCTCCTCGAAAAAGAGTTCTGTTTCTGCCTGAATTCTATATGAATCAACAGACAAAGGTGTTCGAAGATGCTCCACATTTATCATCTACTTTATAGCTATCTGTATATGTTTTTGTAGCTGCGTAAGAAAAATCTAGACATACTGATAATGTATACATTTACGTTTTAAAGTGAAAACTACTCTTTAAAATGGCATACGTTACGTAGTGTGTGTGTGTGTGTATTGGTCGTTTCACACACTGTAACTGATGTGCACTGAGGGTGTCCATGCCCCACGAGTTGTGTTGACAAACTGGACCAAAGTGGACCACACCCTGTCGTCGCCTTCATCACAACATCCACCCTCTACACCAAACCCATGCTGTTTGATACAGAGAATATGTACCTGTGTATTTCTGTTACTGTAATTACAAAGTGACACAATTCTCATGGACCCGAGGCCATGCATAATAACAGTAAAAGAAAGGGGGGGGGCTTATTTTGGGCTTTAATTGCGAAAAACGAAACATTTTAAGTTTCTAAGAGGACATTTACTCTAAATAATGTGTTGTTAATAGTGTGGTGAGAAGTAACGTGTCGTGTTTGAGGTGCATATCGTCCATTTTAACGCGTCTAATAGTGTAAGTGTGTGTACAGAGTGGAATGTCGCAGCTCTTCTCTGGTCAGAACACACACACTGTGTGTGTGTGTGAACCAACAGCCGGTGTAACAACTCACTCAAGGCTGTCGTCGTGTTTCTGCTTCTCACTCTGCTGTCGACAGGCATCACTGTATGCAAAAAAAAAAAAAAAAGGCTCACTCTGCTGTCGACAGACATCACTGTATGCAAAAAAAAAAAAAAAAGGTAAACATTACAAGACAAAAGGACCTTTCTGTTACCTATCAGAACAGCCAGTGCAAAATTACTTCTACTGCAAATACAGACTCCATACACCCTGATATCTGCTCCCAGTGGCTGTTCTTACAGTTCATTATCCCCAGGCTCACATTCCGCACTGAATCCAGATTCCAGTGTTGCAGGTTCTGCCTGTGATCTCTGACCCACTGCTGTTGAGAGTAACTATTACTGATCCTCATTGGCTCTTTGATCATAATTGTCGAGGTGTGTGTGTGGTGTTGTCAGAGGTGATGTGTCAGTATTTCCTTTTTTTTTTTGGCTGATGATAACATTGACTGTATATAAGAATGCAAGTCAGGAAAAGGGAAATCCCAAGATGAAGCAGAATTCCTACCTGAGTTTCTAAGGAAACTCTATTAGCAGAAAAATTAAGGTCACATGTCAGTCTTCAATTTTTAGCCACTAGTGTTGGGCCATTGTAAGTGTAACATGATGTTAATTTTGTAATTTACTTCTTTCTTTTTTTTAAGATCACCTAGAAATATGTAATTCTGTTTGCAGTACCTCTGTTGACCACTAGAGGCTAACTCCTACATAATGTCTCAGCAACTTCCTTTGAAATACTCAGGAAAAAGTACGGACTTAAGACGAGCGTCCACAGATGTTACAGATAGAGTGAATGTTATCTCCAATTTATCACTGACTTCTTATTCACTACTGAGTTCCTTCCATTACTAATTAGCACTTTTGTTTTACCTTTGCAACTGAATGGCTACGCCCGGTTCTTATATATGGTCAATGCATTTTTAGGTGAGCAATTCATGTTGATAAGCAATAGTAAAAAAAATAAAATAAAAAATGGGGTGACTGAGAGCAAACCTCTCTAATGCCATGTCAGCTGCTGTAGACTCGTCAGATGTATTATATCTCCAAAATCCTCCGATAGATACAGTACTTAACATGCTGAAATATCTTAACACTTTCATGGTTCATTGAAGAAGAAGAAAAATCTCAATAACCTGGAAGGCACCAGCTTTGTAACGCTTCAGCACTCTGTTTAACCGTATACATATTGAGTAGAACCAATCTATCTGCGTTAACAGTAGTTGATGAGTAGCCAGTGATTTGTGTCATTGTCATGTCAAAGCTGAAATTTTATAGTATATATATATATATATATTAAAAAAATGGCTAATTTTGTGAAATCGGTGTGTCCCCTTTTTATGGCTATTCCCCCATAGTAAATAAGAGTCTGTGTTGTTGAACATGTATAAAAGATGAGTCATGGAGCTGTGACTCATGATAATATCCAACGTTCCATATTTCAAAAGCGCAGATGATTGCACATTATGTATGAAGCAGTTTATGTGTATGTATGCAAAAAATAAATGTACAATGACCTAAAGTGTTGTTTTAATGCCTCCTACTGCACGGACACAATAATCTACATAAATTGTTTTATTCAAGCAGATGAACCCTGTGCTTTAAATTGACTCTACTTTTCTATGATAAATATAACCATCAGCTTTTATTTATTCTGTGAAATTTAAACATTTTAAAAAGTGGGGACAGGGCTTTGGTCTTTCCACCGACAGGGGGCAGTAAACGTCTGCCGCGATGTAATCTGGGTTGCCACGAAAGACGAATAAGACGGGTGTAGCAGTGATATAGCAGTTAGCATAACACCGGTCGTCAAACTTGTGAGTGCAGTTTCATAAGAGTATAAGTGTCTTTTGTACGTCACGCGTTTTTGCTACTGTTTTAAATTACGCTTTTGGACAAGTGCCTTTCAAGAAGAATGTTCAATTAAAGCAAGTATGTAGTCGCTCGTACTAGCCGGATGCTAAATAACGGCTAACGAGTGGTGTTTTCTAGAAGCCCGGTTGCTATAGTGATACTAGTTTGAAGCGCTGTAAACAGAGAACCCCGGTGTGTCATTTTAGGGTCACCTCAGAGTGAAAAAGCAAAATTCATACGTAGTCGGTTAGTGCGTTTTTTAAAGATGGTTCAACTGCAGGTGAAGCGCGGCGACGAGAATCAGTTTCTGTTTACCACCAGTGTGGACGCACAGGTGGACACAGTCATCCAGCAAATTGCGGCCATTTATAACGGAAGACTCAAGGTGGACAGAATATGTTTAGGTGAGTTTCTAACTTTCATTTAAGTGCTGCTTTCATTTAAGTGCTGCGTCACGTTGTATTTTGTTTTTACGTTTTCACTATGTAAATTGTATGGCTTTTCCCACATTCCCTTCCCATTGGCAAAGATTGAATACTGTAATATTTATTCATAGCTTAACTAGCTTTTATTTGACTAATTAATTAATTACTTAATTACATTTTATTTTTTATTTTAAGTTATTTAATCTTCTTTTCATGTAGTTTAAATTGGCTTATAATATATTTAGATATTTTTGTGTTAAGAAGTACAAATGCGTTTTTCTTTCATGCACTGCTCTCGACTTTACGCTTGATTCGTGCCCAATTTGTGTATTTTGTGTCAGTTATTATTGCTTTAAAATTCATAATTATAATAAAACACATTTTAAAAACATATATTTATCATTTTTAATGTTTTTATGGCAACTGGACAGAACACTTTCCACATGAATGAAAAGAAGTGGCCGCAACATGGGAAACCCACCACTAGATGTTGCTAAATCTTCGCAGTTTTTTTAAACTACGTGTACGTGTTTTTATAAAGCGTGTGCCATGTTGGCTTTTTTCATGAAAATAAATGTTAAATTGAACAATATACATATAATCTATTTTTTTTTTCAGTCAAGGACATGCTGACCTAAACTTGTTTTTGGAAAAATGTGTGTGTTTTTTTTCCATCAGAGATCCCAGAGCTGGCAGAGCATGGCATCAGTCTGCCGCCAAACATGCAGGGCCTGACAGATGACCAGATTGTGGATTTGAAACTCAGAGATGAATGGGAAGATAAGTGCGTGCCTAGTGGAGGGCCCATATTTAGGAAAGATGACATCGGGAGGAGAAACGGACATGGTGAGACTAAATCACCCTTCTGAATCCATTCAACCTGAGGACTAAACTGCCTTTACTTGCAGATTAGAATGATAAGAGATTTACATTTAAATGCTCAATAAAATCACGTTTTACCATTTTATACTGCTAACATGAAACATTAGTAAAATAAATGAATAAAATTAAGTTTTTATCATTTGTGTGTTTTTCTTTACAGCTCCAAATGACAAAATGAAGGAAGTGTTGATGAAGACAGTGGAGGAGTCGAAGGCCCTGATCTCCAATGTCAGTTTTGGATTTTTTTACTTGATGACAAAATAGAAAAAAAAACTGTTTTTTTCTATGTGAATAAATGTCTTTACTCTTCAGAAACAAGTCAAAGCCAACGTTTGTGTGACGATGGAGATGGTAAAAGAAGCTCTGGATCAGCTCCGAGGCGCTGTCACCATCGTGTACCCCATGGGTCTGCCCCCCCATGACCCCATCAGGATGGAGTTTGATGAGCGAGAAGACCTGACAGGAACACAGGTAAGATAACTAAACGTCTTAAGAATTCACCTGTGGCCATTTTTACTAATGCTTCAGTTGATTGATTCAGAAGATTGATTTTGTTCCACCAAACAATTACCTAACATGTTACATAAGGCTCAGGAATTCGGGTCAGTTGTTTTGTTTTTTTTCCGTTCTGTCTGTAGTGATTACATCTTCGTTTTTTTTTTACCTCAGGCGTCTCTGCAGGTGATCTCAGAGGACGAGTGTCAGCTGTGGTGGGCCGGGAAAGAGATGCAGAGGGGGAAGAAGCTGCAGGACTTTGTGGGGAAAAATGAGAAAACCAAACTTGTAGTCAAAATTCAAAAGGTGAGCAGTAACAAGCAGTGTATTGTCTTGGTCTATGTCGGCTAAGCCAGATGACCTTTAATCAAATGATTGCTGTAGCTGCAAGCCCTGAGAAGTGATTTTTTTTTTTGTTTTGGGAAATCCCTTTCTCATTAATTTGTTGAATTACTGTTTAGAAAGGACAGGGGGCGCCAGCGAGAGAGCCTCTGATAACAGATGAGCAACAAAGGCAGATGATGCTGCAGTACCACAGGAGGCAGGAGGAGCTCAAGGTGAGGAGACCAAACCGTCAACATGACAAACCAACAGCGACCTGTCGGTATCAACCCTTTATTACAGTTTTAACCCTGGTCCAATGTTTCAGAAACTGGAGGATGCAGACGATGACAGTTACCTGGACTCTCAGTGGTCGGACAGACAGGCTCTGAAGAGACAGTTCCAAGGTCTTACCAACATCAAGTGGGGACCGAGATAAAGACAGGTACTGCTCTGATAACCGGTCCTGGACCCACGGCTTCATCACAACACTGAAACTGGTGTTACTTAAGAACTTTAGGGGAGTACTTACCACACAGGGGTAATTATGATGACAGGTTTTACTGGTTTCTATCTTTACACAGCTACAAGTGAAAAAAAACTCATGAAAACAAAATCTGGATGTAAAGTTTAACCAAACCGTTTTTTCCTCATTTTTCTTCCATTTTCTTTACATTTTTTAAAAATTAAAAGCATTCAAACAAACTGAACTGTTAAAAACACTTCCTGTACATTTTAGTTTGTTGAACTGGGAGTGAAATTATTGTCAGAGGAAAAGTTTAAGCAGAAACAAAGTTCATCTCCCACAGTGCAGGGTCAAGGATGCTACACCTTTCCTTTCTTTGTCTCACATCAGTGATACACATACACACACACCAACCCTCTCAAAGTCAGCTTTGTTATAAGGCAGGAAGTTGCCACACACTAGTTGGTCGTTCCAGTTCTGGTCCCAGCTGGAATGAAGAGGTTTTTTCCAGAGTCAGTCAGTCATTCAGGAATAGTGAGTCTGGATGAAAAATCTGTGGATTTAATAATGGTCAACTTTACACTTTACACTTTTGGCTTTTATAAAAACACAGTGTTCAGTTGTTGTACTGCATCTGTCTGGCCTCTGGTATGAACAGCTGCTGATGTAATGACCTCTAATGTAGTTATTACTGCTGGGAAAACCTGAGTGTTTCTATTTCTGTCCGGTGTCATCTGTTAAATCATCACTTTGTGGTGGTGGGAACTGGAACCTTTTACATTCAACCCAGTTTATCGCTTTGAAACTGTGGGTGACTTAGAATGTCTCTCGGCCCACCTGAAGTACGGGTTGAAAAGACCTGGGTTTGAAGTGAGTGGCCCAGAGTCTGAATACAAGAACAAACCTGGGCTGCATGTTTGAAAAAGACAAAAACATATTACTTAAAATCACCAGGACTGTATGTTGGTGAGCTAGCAGGCATTTTTACCCACTATTTACTGCCTTTTTTCAATAAGTAAATTTCCTCAAGACATAAAGATATTTGTTTGGTAATATTCCAAAAGTAATTATTTCACATATATTTTTGTTTTCCTAAGTTAAAGCCTAAATACAGTAACATTCCAATATAAACAGTGACACAAACTGTTTATCTTTTTTTAAAATAAAACTTTTAGCTTAAATATTAACTTTAGTCATAGTCATAAATATAAATAAATTATTTGTAATTCCTATATATGCATTGATGATCATATTTCAGCATAAAAATATTTTATATATTTTATAGATTCCTGTGAAAAACCCAGCATGACATTGTAAAAAAAAAGAGTGTCTTTGTGTCAGAGGTCAAAGGCTGAGAGTTAAAATATTCAGTGTCTAAAGCCCCGGACACGTCAGCCCCACGATGGTGGAGCTGCCGTTCAGATAAGCGTTCATCCAGATCTCCTGTATGACCATGTCCCTGCGCTCGATCCTCTCTGCCCGCTCGGCCGCCTCGCTCACATACGTCACCTCCTCCCAGCCGTAAATCGCCGCCTTCCGCTCTGCAGCTGAGATCAAGGAACTTTCAGAGTCATCATCATCATCTTCTTCATCATCGTCGGCATCATCGTTGTCCACATTATTCAGTTGGCGGTCAGTAATCCGGCTACAAGTCCTGGATGAGAGTCCAGCATCTTTGATCCGGCGCCCCCTGCAGGTCACCCGCACAGAGACGGCAAGCAGAGTCAGCAGGAGGCCGATACAGATGCTGGAGGTGAAGAGAAGAGCTGCCATCTCTGAATGTTCTGCGAAAATCATCGAGTAAGGCGTGTCAAAGATTGCAGTAAAAAACAAACAACCTGTGCTGTGAGTGTGAGTGACATTAAGACCCCACCTGTGTCAGGTTGTTTACCTTTAATGTAGGCGTAGGTCAGTAGGGAGTTGCTCATCATGGCTCCTGAGCTGCCTGGTCTCCTGGAACCGTGGGAGAAAATCTCCTCCAGATCTACTGGAGAAGTTGCTGAAAAAATAGTTGAAATTAAACTTTTTTTTTTTTTAAATAAGTGAAAATACTGGATGTGATAAGTTGAAGTGAAATTTACCACTTCCTGTGTTCACAGTAGGCTTTAAGGTGGATCCGAATGCATTTGGATCTGCTTCCCTTAGTAACGACTGTGGGACTGTAAAAAAAAAAGAAAAATCAGTTTTCTTTATTAATGAGGTGACGAGAGAAGAATCACTCTGACTTTGCCCTTTTTGTTATCAACAGAGTGGATGAAGTCAGATGTAGAGTCTGCTCCTCTGTCTACACTGAAGCCACAGCTTCTGACAGTATGACCTCACTGGCATTAATGACAGGAAGTTTGGCCAGGATGTCAGTGTTAAACCCTCAAATCTGAGCTCATGGTTGATTATTCAATGAGTCCTTGTTGTTGGGTGTGATGGTCTAAGAAAGTCTCAAGGCCGAGATCAGAAGATAAGGAGACTCACAGGAGGAAACTGAGTATAAAGGTTTACTGTTCGAGATTTCGGTGGTGACAACAGATGATGATGTGACATTTTTTTTTCTATTTTGGAACCTTCGTCAAATTCATCAGGGAGCTGTAAATGGTTTCCTGCAGCACAGGGAGTCCTACCACAGGAATAGGTCACGCTGAGGTACTTCCTGGTTCCTGGAAAGCAGGGGTCTCTGAAGGTCTGGTTGCTAACGGCAACAGCACACCGCTGTTTGCTGTAGCAGGACTGGGACACGACATGTACGGCCTCGTGATTCAGACACTCTGAGACACAGACAAGGAAGTAGGATAAATTAATAATAAAGAAGGTTGTTAATTATTGGTGGTTCCCTAAAATGAAGCCAAATGAAAACATGAAAAAAAGTTAAATGTTAGCCATAAATAAGTTAGTAATCAAGGCATAGTTAGTTTAATTTTTTGATTTTGTTAGCCCTGCCAGGGCCAGGATTTGAACCAGCAACCCTCCAATTACAAACTGCTGACTGAGATTTCATTAAAAAGACTTGAAATTGATAAACAACTGACAACTGAGGCATAAACAATGGGTTTATAGCTCAGTTGTGTTGTTGCTGTAGGGAACCGTGGCTGAGGAGAAATCCCGTCGACTCACCAAAGGGTGGTGGTGTGGTCAGGTGTGAGGGGCAGGTGTCACTGTGGCCCAGAGCTCTGCCGTAGACAGCTGCGTAGATGTTCAGCACCCTGGGGGGCTTACAGCGCAGCAGCATGGTGTCGCCCTCACAGGCCACGTGTCTCTTGTGTTCCGCTGAGTGAGGGAGAAAAAAAGGCAGTAAAGATCAGGAGGTGTCGGGGCAGAAGGACGGAGGGGGGAGGCAGTAAAAACAACAGTGAAAATGCTGCTGCAGAACTCACTCGGTTTACACTTGTAGTCCACATGGAGGTACTTGGTGGAGCCCGGACAGGGGTCTTTCCCAAACAGCAGGTGATTGACAGGCAGCTGACAGTCCCTGTGGCTCTGACACTCAGACAGCAGCTTCTGCAGACAAAAGGAAATGAGCCTTGAATCGGGATGTGACCTTTTAGCACATCCACCTGTGGAAACCTCCGTGGTGAAGGAGTCGTTTCTGGAACAGTGAAACAGTGAGTGTTCACTCTCCACACACCTGCAGAGCAGTAAACGCCGAACAGCTGTGGTTGTGGGCCGTGTGTGCAGGGTCCGAGGGAGGTTCCGCCCTGCACAGCCAGGTGGCCCCGCTGCCGTAGAAGGCCGACTGGATGGAGATGGTGGAGTGGCGAGGGCAGTGGAGTCGCAGAGGCTGACCGTCGCAGGCATGAGCCGAGTGACTGGTGATGATCCTGGTCAGGTAGTCTGGAGCACAGAGGTGTCAGTCACACCGAGAAGGGAAACATGAGACGATGAAAGTCTGAACAAAACAAGTAAAGTGCAATAAAATACAGGGAAGGAGACGGAGGGAAATGATAATGTCAGAATTTACACAGAAATATAAAAAATAAATGATAAAATGTGTTAAAATAGACCAGAGATGAAGAGAATACAAATATACATCCTAAAGTAATTTACGATATAAAAGAAACCTAAAAAAGGAAAAACTTTTTTAAAAAAAAACAACTCTACTGATAATTGTATTTACTTTTGTTCAGTGACTCTCAAACTATGGTAAATGGTCCCGCTGGTGGTGCTTGGGCTCCCTCTAGTGGTGAGTGATTAAATGGGACGTTTTCCTGGCTGAAATGAATGGTTCGAAAACTCAAGCCCAAACTGGAACTCTCAAAAAGAAGGTTTTGGTTGCCGCCTGTTGTCTCACGTTGCCTTGTAAAAAACGTTTTCCTTGTGGCAAATTCTGCCAACTGGCATTCAACCCCAGCTGAGCCACCTTTGTTGTTTGGCGTTCACATGTGATTAAGTTACTGATGAGTCAAAAGTCCCGTATCCTGAGATGTTTTCATAATTTGTTTGTTGCCCTGAGTTTCCTTAAGAAATGGTGAGATAAACAAGGAGGTTATTTTTCCCTACTTTGGATGTTGTAGACAGCCCCCACCCCCCTCCTCACCCTCACCCCTCACACCCCCCTCCAGGTCCCGCTCTTGGCCCCGGAGTCTCTTGAATCCTCACTGTTTCATCTCTATCATTCCATGCCAAATCTCTATGGGATGTTTGGGACAAATGGATGGTATTTCAGGATCACTGGCAACGTTTAAAAGAGCATAAACTCACGGCCACCTCCCGGTGTGACCATTACGACGCCACTCACACCAGACCCCTAAGTAGAAGCAGAAGGTCCTCTTTGTCTGTGGAGACGGAGGTCGATCCCCGACACGACTGTTGGACGTGACAGTTTATTTGCCTGGTTTTCAGTTTAATAATAATATGCGAGCAGAAAAAAACCCCCGCAGTGAACGTGTGGGATCTGTTATCAAAGCTTTGACTGTGTTTAACCTGAAAAACAGGAACAATATTATTTCACAAAGCCTCCAATATAACAAGGTCAGGAGTATTAGCCTCCTTTAGAACTGACAACAAGTGGAGATCATAAGGATATGAATGACAGGTTCTCAACATGTGGTCTGTGATGCCCAGAAGGTCCGTATTGTGTTTGTTTGTTTTATTGTGTTTGACATGGTTAAAAATTGATATGTGAGTTATTAGATAATCTGAAGTTTATATGTCAACTTTGTAGTAATATTAATATTTTTTTGTTTGTTTATGTAAACATAAATAACGTCACAATTGTGTTTAAAATACTTATATCCCCTGTGTTTTTGGAAAAAAAAAAACACGTTTATAACAAATACCACCAAAGTACACTCAACATATACAGTATATAACCCACGTCGTCATCTTCCTCCTCTTACTTGAAAAGTCGGCCAGTCCACTCATGCGTCTGGTCCACAGCAGCAGGGTCAGGTAGAAGAGACCGTGGCTCCAGTCCAGTCCAGGACCAGGACCAGGACGTGTCCAGCTCATGACTCCAGGATCATAGTAGGGAGACCGAGAGAGTCCGGGCTTCTTCACTGGAGGATGGAGACGTCCACGGGTAAAAGCCCAGGCATCAGGACTCATGATCACCGCTCCCCGGTGAGGATGATGAAGATGACTCCGGGACTCATCTTTCCTCCCAGGATTCCCAGACACGTTGAGTTTCCAGTTAAATAAAATCAGCCGACGGCGGCACAAAGCAGCGCCTGTTCTCCGCAGTAAGAATGGACCACGGAGAAGGAAAAGAAGGAGCAGCAGCAGGAGCAGCAGCAGGAGGAGGAGGAGGAGGAGGTTAGAAATAGCTGCTGCGCAACAAGTTGCTCCCGAGCTGACAGACGAGCTGAATCGGAGAACTTTCGTCTCCCGGTCTGCGGATCTGTGAATGGATGGGAGTGGAAACCGAACGCGTCCACGCGCAGACAGCTGAGTGGGATCATGGAGGAGGGAGTGGCAGATGAGAACTATTTTGGAACCGAGAGGAATGGGTGAAGATTGGAGGAAAGGGGGGCGCTCTCTGCGGAGTGACGCACCACCACGGTTTCATTATTACATGTTTACATTTAGGATTCTGGCTCCTTCTCCTTCTTATTATTATTTTCCTGCTCAGGAAATCTCTTCGGTGAAAAAAAAAAATTGTTTACTTAAAAATATTCTCTCATTCTCTGCATTTGACCATTTGATCAGCACAACAATCCAGAGTTTAACCGATTAACCGATTATAAAGCAAAAAAAAAAAGAAAATAAACTCATAACGGGAAACCAAAAAACGAGTAGGCTATAACAACAATTATATAATAGCCAAAAGTTCGCAAAAACATAGCAAAGAACTAGCATAAAGGCATTATTGACTTATTCAAAACAGGTCATTAATAATAGCTAGAATAGCTATTATCGTTAACTAAAAACGCTCATCTTTATTTACATTTGCAAACATTGTTGTGGCAACATTGTCAGTTCATTACTGGTACAAATATTATATAAAATATTGATCAAGTGTCGTTCGGTCCATGTGGGGTCTGTGGGCCTCAGTGGGGAGTCAGTGTTTCTTCCCCAAAAACTTTTTAAACTGTGTCAAGTGTAACTGACTGGCTTTGACTTTTTTTGTGCCAAACGCTGATGTCCTTAATGTGGGGTCTTTGAATAAAGCTGGGGCCCCGCTGAGTAAACTGCTTCCTGCCCCCCCCACCTCGCCCCCCCATCCATGACCCGCTCCATGGTAACGGCTCAATCCCAGAGCCCAGACCTACAACAGTGAGGACGACAAGAGACGTCGGGGTCTCCACGCTCTGATCCATATGGAGGTGGTAGTGGTGGTGGGGGGGGGATGTGAGGAGGTATTTTGCATACAAACTAAAAGTGTCCTCCTTCATGTTTGCTGCACTTTAGCTTCGTATTCCATTCAGGAGTGAGTGGCCCCTGAAGACCCCCTTTCATCAGCAGTCGTCCCCCTAAAGCCTGTGGAATTTTGTTGTCAAAGTCAGAACTGTGTTCTGGACTTAATGAGGGGAAAAAACCACACATGACAAAAGTTTCAGATTTAACTAAATTTATTCAACACAACTTTTACAATATTTTTGTTTTATTTAAAATCCACATTCATATCAAACTGGGAATCGAG